GCAGTCGTTGGGGTAAGCGCATACGAAATGAGCAGTGGCTGCCTTTCTTTTTTGTAAGTCAAATTTGTTGTTGGCTCTAATTAAAATAGCTTGGAAAGCATTGCATAAAGAGCGACCCATTAGTCTGCGTTTGACATGGCTTCCGACTCGAGAGCGCGAGTTGAGGAGTGGGACTTGGGTTTCGGGTTAGCTGGAGAGTTCAAATCGACAACAACAAGCTTAACTGCTGTTTCACTTGCGATTTTCTTGTTGTTTCTGCTGAGCTGATTATTCAACTTGGCAGCCCATACGTGGCGTATGATTAACACGCTTACCATATTACACATACGCACGGTTAGCCGTCTGTTGCCGTGCAGCTTACAAGCAAAAACATAGCACGCAGTAGCTGTCTGTGCGGGTGCGTGTCTGTGTGTGTGTGTGTGTGTGTGTGTGCGTCTGTGGTTGTGTGTGCATTAAATTATGTTTGCTTTATGATTTATCTAACACACACTCATAAGAATGTTGAGCATGTCCCGAACGCCATTCCGACAATATGTCTTATCCGCCTTTGTCTGCTCAGCGCTAGCTTGGAGACGGTGGTAGCAGTACCACTGGCACAGTAGGCTCCACAGGGTGCCCTGACTACGGGGTGCCTGGCTGCCTGGCTGCCTGGAAGCCAGTCAGTCAGGCAGCCAAGCATTTTAATAGACTTTGCCTCCGACAGATGTAATTGCGTTCAAAAAGCAGCCGTTGGTCGACCCGCACCCTGCACGACATAACAAGCTTTAATCATAAATAAATACGCCTCGAAATAAAGATGGCAGCATGAAAATAACAAACACAAAAAAATGAAGCAACAAAAGAATAAAATAAAAAATGTCACGCGGATATCAGCTTTGATGGAAAAAGGTCTGCCTCGATGTATTTGAAGAGAGTCAGGAATGCTTTTGTCTAAGCCCTAAATACCCTAAGCGCTTTCAATATTCTATTATGAGTGAGCTGAAATTTATTTTATCCAAGCCACAAAATTCTCGGAAATGTAAAAATGCATAAAAAGGGTTTTTAAATGCTCAGCTATTTGAGCAATGCTCAGACAGCGCAGCCCTCAATATGTATTTGATTTTATGTTAGATTTGTACGTTAAACTTAAAAAGTTGCAAAATATAATTAAAAACTTAAATCAAATGTTTCGTATTGTACAAAAGAAAGAAAATGGCAAATGTATCACATCATGCAAACAACGTCTCGAATCGAATTCTGAGTAGAAAACTTTCGGAATATAATTAAAGTTATATGCATAAATACATGAATTATTCGCTATGGAAATTGACATTTTCCAGCTCACTCTCACTTGATCTGAGGTCCATATTAAAAGCCGCGCCTCAGTATATTTAAAAAGTTTTTAAAAGCAATAGTTTGGTTGTCTAGGGGCCTTTTTTCTCGGAGCAATTTGTCAAAATTGTGTAAAAAATGCAATTAAATTGATTGAGGTCAGAGGACTCTGTCGACTTAGGCCGCGGGCATTTGCCATAAGTTAAATTATTTTTCTTCTTTATTTTTGTTTTCGCTGTCTTATTAAATGTGTATATGTATATATATAAATATATGTGTGTGTGTTTGCTTGACACATTAAAGTGCTAGCCACTTGAGCTTTGATGAGGTCTTTGCAGCTGATGCTCCTTGCTCAAAAACTGATGTGTTCTGGGCATTTTGTTAAAAGTTGAAACTTCGCTTGAAGCGCGCATTTCATAGAGACTGTCGACGGTTACTGTGCGGAGTATTTCAAGGTTGTATTGTAGCTGCAGACAGAGATTTAAGTTTAGCTCAACCTCAGACATTCCCGTCCGACTGTGTAGGGTGGCGACTAATTCGAAACTTTTGGGCTGTCGAGTGTTAAGTTGAGGCCAATGCGGAAAATATCGACTGACGTATTTCACGATGCCGTTTTTCGCTGACAACTTTTAAGGGTCTTGTATAATTGGCTGCCGCCCAAAGCGGCTAATAAAACTTCCTTGCCAATTTGATGGCCAGCCATGGGCCAGGCATTCATATAAACTTTCAGTTTACTTACTGCCTAAATGGGGAAAATAATTAATATTCTGCGAGCTTTACACTCGGCTCGCTTTGGCAGGAAGTCACATTCTGAATTATCCATCAGACACACACCCATAAAGTCCACACTGGTGTTGGCTGTCGACACTTTTGCCGAAAATGGCCCCTTAGGTCTGTCGTTAAACAAGAATTGCCCGATTGGGAAGGCGCGAAGACTTCGTGCTTCGTCTTAAGTGAGCCACAGCTAATTGCACTTAAATTTCTGAAGGCTGGACTCCTTTATGTGGAGGCCACACATGCTGTGAATGTGGATTGCTTAAGTGTCGAGTCAGTAGAGTGAAAACTCAATCGTTGTCCGTGGGCCAAGTAAAACAAAAATACACTGTTTGATAGAAGCTAAGATAAAAATAAATAAAATAAAGAAATTATTTTTGCTGACTCAGTCATCTTTGTACATCGGCCCAGGAATTGGCTTTAAGATGTAAAACCTCTAAATACGATAAAATAAATTAAATACATTTTATTTATGGCTGCACATGACAGCCTAAGCTCTTCATCTATGTATTATATATGTGACGTGAAGCCACACTAGATGCTACTGCCTCTGTGTGATATACTCAGAAACGGTTTTAAGAGTTTTAAGAGATCTTCACATGCACAATAAATTGGGGATTCGAGCAAGCAGCGCCAAGCACAATTAAGCTGTTTGGCATCAGAAGTCCCAAAGTTGGTTGTTAATTCACATCCCTTTTCCGTTCACTCGCACTGCTCTCTGTTTAGTTGAATTTTTCAATTACTTGCGCAACGAATCGGGGCAATCCAATGTCTGCTATGCATGCACACCTCAATAATTTCAAGAAGCTATCTAATAAATACTTGATTTTATGGCGAACAAGTGCAGGAGCCCGCACCTGACCGTATAGTTGGGCAGGTGAACAGCATCATTTAGATGGCCTTCATGGAGTATCTGGAAACGACGCGCACTTGTTGATGGACGGGCTCCTAGAAATAGCTCGGCTGAATGGCCGCAAAAGATTTCGTTCGATTTGCCAAGAATTTGCTACGCATTCAGGTCGACCCTATTAGCCAATGAATAAATAACACACATACGGCTGGCCGCAGATATCCTGAAATCAATAGCGGCAAAACAAGTGACGCCTTCCACACAATCTAATATTGAAATGAAATTGAAACGACACAGAGCAAACAAACACGCACACACACGCGCACACACACACATACAATCGATACCAAGCAGAGGTTGAATACGAGAAACAAACTCACTCGCAGCTCCGATGCGATTACTGTCGGAATAGAATCGACTGATTGCCATATGCCTTTGTATTTGCCCGAATAAATTCGTATTAGTTCTCACTGCGTTTTACAGAGAGTTTCCTCCTCATGCCCGAAATGTTGACTTCTATTCCTCGATTTGTTTGCCTGTCTGACTGCCTGTTGCTCCGAAACGTCGAACCAAACCCTGAAAAATAATAATACAAGAATGCCAGCACACACAGCAAATCTCAATACTGAACAAATGAATCCTTTGCACCAGCTCAACAAAAGCCAAGGCTTTCACTGAAGCAGATGGTGTTTCCCTTGCACTTAGCTACGAAAAGCTGTGCAGCTTGTTGTCTTAAGTTGCATTTTGGCATGTTTGTATGCAAATGAATTTATATGAAATGGTAAACACAGTTGTATTGACAATTGACAAAATTAAAAAACAATATTCCAGTTAGAAATCATTGAAGAGTCTCCTGATATCTTTGTTAGTAGTAGAGTAGAAGGAAATGTGGTATCTACAAGCTACAAGGAGTCTAACTAGGTTGGTTCTTAGACTAAACTAAAGTAAGAAAAAAGAGAGATAAAGTGAGATAATGAAAGAGAAAGGGAGAGTGAGAGGGAGCAGAGAGAGTGTCAAGTGAGTCAGAGAGAGTGCGTGACAGAGAGTTAAAAGGAGACGCAGAGTGATGAAGAGAAGGATCTTGAGAAAAGTAGAATAATATTGACGGAGAGCGATGGGACAAAAACAGAGAGAGAGAAAGGTGGAGAGATGGAGAGGCAGAAAAGACCACAACTAACTGACTTGTAAACAAAATTAATATAGAAATGAATACGAAACATTTAAGTCTTTTATAACTGACAAATTGCTCTTCAATGTACTACAAATTTTAGCATGAATTTTAGTAATTCTGCAAAAGCATTGTACTGTTTTAAATGAAGTATTTCAATTAACGTTTCTATATCTGCACACGTTACTTTACTGTTGCTCCTCGTTTTCCTTAAATTACAACTTGCTTTCGTTTCTTATACAAATTTATTTTGTTCAACAATTCATGCAACATTCAACCGATTACATTGGGTACAAGGCTATTGCAGACACTAGCTTTAATAAATAATAGACTGCAGCAGAAACACGAGAGGTTTGTCCATAAACCGCAACATGAAGCATAATTAAGCTGCACAGAAAAATCCAAATATTACGCATACGCAGCGTTGTTCCCCACTGAAGTAAAAGCTGCTTAAATCATTTCACTACAACGACTTTAACATGTATTTACTAACCCACTGTCTCTTTCTCCTTTGTGTGTGTATGTGTGTTTTTTGTGTGCAGCATGGAAGCAACTGGCGCCAGTCAAAGAGCAAACCCACTCGCAGCTACAACAACAGCAACAACAACGACAGCCAATGTGGTCGCTGCTAAAACAAAATGTGCAAAATAAAACACGCAACTGTGGCAACAACAACCACTCTACTAAAAACCTAAATGCCATAAACTGAATACTCCTTGTAGCGAAAAGTGCAAAGCTGGAATATCAAAAAAAGAGAGAGGAAACGGAAGTGGGCTGAACGAACAAATAAAACGACACGCACACGGCGACAGCCACAAACAGGAAGACAAGACAGTCACAGTCAGACAGTCAGACAGTCAGACTCAAAGTTAGCTAAAGGGAACCTCAAAATAAAACATGTACGCGGCTCTAATGGACATGAGCCAGATGCTGGCTGCAAGCCTGGCCTATGCGCCACTGGAGTCAAGCGGCGCTGCAGCTGCTGCCGGTGTCAACTTTAGCCAGCTCAGCAATTCGAGTCAGTTGGATGGAACGACAATGGCAACGGTAGCCTCAACATCAACGGTGGGCACGCATAATGCCAGCGGCGAGGATTCTTCGTACGTTAAGGTATTGGATCGCCCGGAGACCTATATCGTCACCGTGATCTATACGCTCATCTTTATTGTGGGCGTGCTGGGCAATGGCACTCTGGTCATCATATTCTTTCGCCATCGTTCCATGCGCAACATACCCAACACGTAAGTGCCCCGTGGCGTCCCCGTTTTCCGTTTCCCATTTACCATTTACCATTTCCATTTCCCTTTGCCCATTCCCCAACCTCCAAGTCATTCATATGCCACATACATATGCGTACAATCACTCGCCATAAATATGGCCCAAATGAGCGCTGCGTGCTGCTCAAGAAATAGCCCGAAAGAATTGCCACTCAACATTCATGATGCTGAATTATGGTCGTATCTCTGATTTTATTGCCTCTTGTCTCAGATGCCAGCCAGATCTTGTGGCCTGCTCCGGCTGCGGTCAAAACAGCTGTCGTCGCAATCTTGACCAAATTAAAAGTTCGTCAGAAATGTTCATAACTTTTTAACCTCACAGCAGGCGCCGCCGCTGGTCACGAATACTAAGCAGGACTTTCAAATTGTGTGGGCTACAGAGATTCAAAATCAAAAGTTTATACAACCAACATCATAATTAAAATGTGAGCAAATTGAAGGTAGGCAAATTTGCTAATCGATATAAATCGATATGCAAAAAAGACTTTTTTTAAAATTCTTAGGAAGATGATTAGATAGTAAATTGCAAATATTTTTAAGCTTAAATATCCCTGAATGCCAAACATTCTCATAGTAGATTTCAGTTAATTTACGCTCGGTCTGCATTAGCTGTAAGCTCCTGAATGGCACTCCCAGCAGAAAGCCCTTATTAGCTCAGTGATGGGCATCATGGCGTATGCGCAATGCACAGCAGATTCGTCTGAGCTCATTTGTTTCCACATTGGGCGAAAATTACAACGTATAATGTGCAACTATATTCAAAATTGAAATTAAAGACACAATATTCTTATTACAAGGTATGCCACAGACGGAAGACTTGAGTCATAAATTAAAGAAACACTTAATTGAGACGAATAGCTTACACGTTCTGGCCATGCCCGCATACCTCATGTACGTCCGTTCGTCCATCTCGTGAACAATATTATCTACAGACCTGAAATCTATAAAATATGTCCTTGTACACCATACGCAGTACGATTTTCCTATCGCTAAGGATTCATTTTCAATCTTATGTTTACGCCTCTGTGTGTGATGAATACGCAGCTTATATCCACTGAAATGATAGATCTATTTGACATTTGAAGCATTATAAGCAGACGCTTTAGCTGATGTAAACGCTAAGCTGCAACTCTCCATCTCCACTGTTCGACTCAATATCAAAGCTTATCCTTTGCTCACTTTAGCCCACAGCGCATAGCGCTCCCATATTGACAGCATTCTCTTCATTTTTGCAGCTGGCTTAACTGATGCTAAGCTGTAGTTGCATAACAGTGGCAGATTCCAGCTGCCACAAAACATTTCCCGGTGAACAGCTGTCGACATGTTTAATACCCTGTATCCTCAAAAAGGCATACACAAATTGGGGCAATCTGGTCTTGTGAAAGAATCGATTACTATTGATACAGATTAAAAACCCTAAGCTGAGCTTTAAACAGCATAGAGTCCAGCTCTTAGATTGGGACTGTCTTCTCTGCAGCCTTAAAATACTTAAAACACTTGTACCTTGGGATATATTAATTTATTATTTATTATTTATTATATATTTCGTTATACCCGAGTCAAAAGCTTAGCTAGTTTGGTTTCAAAAATCGAAAGATTTTAACTTGAAATTTAAGCAAATTATAAGCCAATTCCGAAGATAATAAGCGCTAAGCATATATATTGGGTATATGGCCGTCTGGCATTCCTGCTCAGTCGAATGGGACTCATGCAAATGTTTATTAATTTGGAAACTTGTAGGAAACTTAAGAGTTCTTACAACTGTGTAGCGCCATGTGTCCTTCCTCTCAATGTGGTGACTTTCAGATCCACAACTTAAACAAATTCAAATAACAATTCATCGAAAGTTTCAGCCGGTGACACAGATGGAGAGGAAGGGAGTGCTATAACTAAGAAACACTTGCATAACAAGCATATTTGAAATTGTCGTCACGCCTCGATTGGCAATAAATGTGTCTGTTCTGCAATTTCCATTGTCAGGCCATTATTTCGCTATACAAATAGAGAGTTAAGGGAGCAAATACAAAAAGGAAAGATGCATTGAAATATGCTAAAAGTTGCATTCCTGCCAGTTAAAGGTGTGCGATTGATTGTGCGCTGGCTGTAGCCATGGCGAGCAGGAGAGGAGTCATAGCATGAGTGCTGCAATCGAGAGCCAATCAGTGGAGCAAGCAAGTTTTTGCGTCATTTGCCATCCTTTGTCCGGCTTGTCTAGACAAGCGTCAATTGACATCAATCAGAACTTACAATTTGTGGCCGATAATGATGCTGCGTTTGGGGCGAAATGTTTTTAGTCCGTCGTCTAGTTGAGGTTCAATCAGGTCAATGACAAAGCAATTTGTTAAAAAATGCCCACATTTGCTTTTAACTCAAACATTCGTTGTTTCGTTTTTGCATTTTAGGAGCTGTGAAATGAAATTCTCTTCCAATTGGCAGTAGACAGACATAACTTGAGGTGGGTGGTTTGAAGGTTGAGTGTGCGAACCCAAATCAACGAATCAACTTGAAAATGTCCAAAAGGAATACACAAAAGAAATATTCAGAACTAAAGGGCGCCTCGCTCGAGTGTTTCACAAGTGACTGCACAGCGGGTCAAACGAATGGAACAATCCCCGTTGCCATTCACTTTACCGCGCCGGTTCCAATACCGATTCTGATTCCGATAATAAAGCGAATTCTATTCCAAGTTCCACTGCCAGTGCAACCATGCAGCAAATTTGACACGTTTAACTGTGCGTGAGCAGAATAAGATTTCCATTTCTTTTTTTTTTCATTTTTACACAACTTTAAGTTGGCTGGCTTTAACTAGAGTCAATGAAACGTAGTGTGCCAGAGCTGCTGTGCCCAAGTGTTAATACCAAATACTCTATAGTGAAATACTATCGCAGGAACTATAATAACTAGAACAAACAAATAACTCATAACTGATTTGCAGGATTCAACTGGCAGATCGGTAATATGTGAAAATACTAACTTGAACTATTTGGATCTAGAATGCAAAATAATCAAATATGTATTTCAATTCAATTCAAAAAGATCTTTTCTCCTTTTTCATAATATCGATAATCATAGGAGCTATCGCTCATAGTTACTCAACATAACTTTCCCTTTATTATCATCTTATATAATATCAGCAATCATGTTTATTATCACCTTATATAATATCAACAATCATGTTAGCTATCGTTCGCCACTCCTGCCCGATAACATCTGTACACGTGATCAGCTCTTACTGAATCTCTGCAAATTCTTATTAGGTCGTAAATGGCTTAGGGACGTTATTGATAGGTACTGAAAAGAACTCACGCCTTATCACCTTTTAGTAGTTTGTAGGCATATTTGACCGATATTATTTTGCTTGCAGTTACATTCTCTCTCTGGCGTTGGCCGACTTACTGGTCATATTGGTCTGCGTCCCTGTAGCCACAATTATCTACACGCAGGAGAGCTGGCCCTTTGAGCGTAATATGTGCCGCATTAGCGAATTCTTCAAGGACATTTCGATTGGGGTCTCCGTCTTCACATTGACTGCGCTCTCTGGCGAACGCTATTGCGCCATTGTCAATCCGCTGCGCAAGCTGCAGGTGGGTAAATTATACTAATAGTTACTAGTTTTATGTATTTATATTGTGTTTCGTTTTGTTTGCCTTCACAGACGAAGCCGCTGACTGTGTTCACGGCCGTGATTATCTGGGTGTTTGCCATTATGCTGGGCATGCCATCTTTTATAGTCTCTGACATCCAGAGCTACAACATATCCACGCCCAATGGCAACATAACCATCGAAGTATGCTCTCCATTTCGATCCAAGATTTATGCAAAGTGAGTTTCGCCGCTTTCGAAATACCAATCAGTTAAATATATATATTTTGTTCACATTTATTCGCTTCATTTGCTTTTATTTAGTTTTAAGTGGGTGTCCAAGCAAAGCTCTCTTCCTGGCTTCTCTATCTCTTCGTCTCTCTCTTTCTCTCTATGCATTGAAAAGGCCAAGTCCAGTCAACTAGAAGCCATTCAAACAGCTGACAGCTCCTGCCTTTTTGTTAACACTTGGAAATTTTCATCCGAATCAAGGCAAACAGCTACAGCAACAACAGCTCAGCCATACATAAAATTTAATCTTTAATCATAATTTACACAAATACCATATCTGTTGAGTTCGTTTTGTGTGTTCGGAAAGCCACAAATTGATTTTTCGTTTTGAATTAACTTTTTTGTTCAGTTTTATCAAATTCGTTGTTTGTCCGTTATTTGTTTGTTTTTGACAAGAATTTGGAATTGAATTTACCTTTTATACCTTGCTCAAAAGGTCGACTGTAGAACATAGAAGTCATTAATTTACACGCTTCAGCTGGGCAGTAATTCAAGGTGCTTAAAATCATTAAGAATATCTCCATTAACGTCTCCCTCTCTCTCTGAAGCGTTTCTCTGATATCCCACTTGCTGCTGGGCTCATTCTGTCCATAGGCAGCTCTTCCTTCGTCTCGCTGATAAACTACTTAAATTTAATACCACTCGTCCTATTTAATACATCTCCAACAGCTGCCTGGCACAGTCTGTGCAGGACTTCAACGCTGCGGCGCTGCCTGTTCGCCTGTTGCTATAAGTTGGAAATCCTTTCATGCTCGACAGCAGCAGCTGTTGCCACATAATCTGCCAACGACTGCCTCTCTCCCTCGTCTCTGCCTTTGTTTGCAGCTTCAGCAAATTGGTTGCTAATTTTTTATGCAATTTGTTAAACCTCTTTCAAAACTCAGCAGCATGTGTTTCAAAAGCCCACAAAATTGTTGAATAAAACAAACAGAAAATTAAATTTTTGTTGCTTTTTCTTTTTGTGGAAACAGTTTATTCGACCGTAAGTCATCTAGTCACGCCCCACTACAATTTATAGAATGTCTGTGTGCTACTGACAAATTGTTGAAGACGTCTTAGACAGAGGGTTATGTAGCCATAAGCAGTTATTAAATTAGTTCTAATTTCTAATTTATTTCCCAATCTTTAGAGTTCACAAATTCACATTTATAATTCAAGACTCTTCTGCATCGCTGGCTAGTTCAGCGACAGATTCAACTTTATTGAAGAAACTTTTGAAATTTAACTTCATTTTTGATATCAATTAACACAAGCAGAATTAACACATAAATATTTCACATTGCCATTAACACTTTACAAAAAGTTAGACCTTTATTATGTAAACTGGGTTTATTTTCTTCTTAGATACAATTTCCTACTGATATAGAAGCAATGTTGGCTTTTCTACAAGCTCTGTTTGAAAAGGACTTATTTATATATTTATTAATTTATTTATTATTTAAGCCTATTAGCTAACACAGATATTATATAGCATCAATATATACTAAGAACATCCAACCCAATACTATAACCAACACGATTTGGGTAATTTATTTGCCCGATTAGCCAGCTATGCCCCAATTCAGAAAAATTAAGCCTGCCTAAAAGAACGATAATTTAATATTACCCTTAAACAAAGTTTGTATGCAAACAATCCAGAGAATAAAACTATATATATATATATACTTCGTTAATGAGCTTATCATATATTGCCCAAGTTGAATATGATTTTTTTTATACTTAGTTTAGCTGTTATTTAATCGAGGGAAATTATTAATTAATTATTCAAATTCAAATATTTTATATATAAATAGCAACAGCAGCAATCAAATTACGTTTATGTGTTTGAGCTCAATCTTCCTTAATTTGTATATAACTTTGTTAAAAGCCAAGCCATAAGCTAAATATTATTTTTATTCAGTTTACTTATTTGGAATTAAAAATAAAAAGAAAATGTCGTTTACCATCTGAAGAAGCAATTCATTAATATTTAAAATTTAGTCCGATTGCATCCAATTGTTTTTTTTTTTATTTCATTTGCTCAAAAGTTAATAAAAGCTTCAAATATTTCAAATGCAGTTTTCGCACTGAGTCCAACGGTCTAAAGGTAAACATTTGTTATAAGTGAAGTCCAAATCAAAGATTTCTGTCTTTTAAAAGAAGTTCAAAGATCAAAGTAATTGGCAGACTGTTGAGAAGTCGCGGCTGAGTTGTAATTAATGAAGCTAAGCTGTTTTTTACTGGCTGAGGAGTATCATTTCTCACAATTAGATCACGCAATCCGCATTGCATCAAACACTTTAAGCGACTCTTATTGTGAGGTGCCTACTAAGCGGCTTTACTCTTCGCAGATATATGGTGGTTGCCAAGGCGTCCATCTACTATTTGGTGCCACTGTCCATCATTGGCGTGCTGTACATCATGATGGCCAAGCGACTGCACATCAGCGCCCGCGACATGCCCGGCGAGCAGCTGAGCATCCAGAGCCGCAGCCAGGCGCGCGCTCGCCGCCACGTCGCACGGATGGTGGTGGTCTTTGTGGTCGGTGAGTAGCCAGCGCTGGAGCCTAAATATAGGCTACAACGATGTACCACTAATTGCCCTGGCAGTGTTCTTCATTTGCTTCTTTCCATATCACGTATTCGAGCTGTGGTACCACTTCTATCCAACGGCCGAGGACGACTTCGACGACTTCTGGAACGTGGTGCGCATCGTGGGATTTTGTACCAGGTAAGCGGATCAGCTGCTGTAACTGCGGCGGTTTTATCTCTTATTTTGCTGCACTTCGCAAATGTGTTCTTAAGGGCTTAAATTCGTTGCATATGCGAAGTTTTTCTGCATTGCATTCAACTTGTTTCTGCATCGCCCCAGGCGTCGTCTTTTGGCATTATTTTTAATTGAAAGAGATAATCCCTGTAAAAACTTATAGCCTTCCCCCCTCACACACACAGTTCCCCTGCCTTCTGGCTAACTCTTTACCAAACTCGCTCCCATGCGTGAAGCTGCAGTAAATTTTCTTTCGTTGACAGTTGCCCCTTCCCCGCCCCAACCGCCTCCTTGGCGCTGGGGGCGTCACTTAGCGCAGTAAAGTGCACAAAATAATGTGTCAGCATTTCGGGCAACTTAATTTGTGATGTCGGAGACTGTCAGTTCCACCGAGAGTAATTTGCATTTTAATGCCGAAAGGGTTGTCCAGAAGCAAAAATAAATACTTCTTGAATAAAATATTCAACAAAAGATTGCAGCAAGTAGACGGCAGTGCGGTGCAAGCTACTTACCTTCTGGTTTGTTGCTTCTACTGACTGTGGAAAGCGCATTCCAGTGTCTTCAGCCCAGCTTACAGATATCGATAAGCTGCAATTCAGCCGCAGTTTGTAGCAAATACAATTGCACTGCGGATACATAATGTGATGTGGCAACTGAGCTGGCAATATGACAGCTCTAGATGACAGTTCCCTTCGGAACTGGTAGAACAAACTAGCTGCGGGCGTAGACTTACTTTTCGCTTTGATCTGTTCTAATTACAGCTTCCTCAATTCTTGTGTCAATCCTGTTGCGCTTTACTGTGTATCCGGCGTGTTTCGGCAGCATTTCAACCGTTATTTGTGCTGCATTTGCGTCAAGCGGCAGCCGCATCTTCGCCAGCACTCGACCGCCACGGGCGTCATGGACACCAGCGTCACCTCAATGCGTCGCTCCACCTATGTGGGCGGCGGAGGGGGCGGACCTCGTGCCTCGCTGCACATGAACAACAACCATGGCGTTAGCGGAGCGGCGGGTGGTCGTGGTGGCAGTTTCCATCGCCAGGATTCGATGGCATTGCAGCACGCGGGCAGCATCAATGGCCACGCGCACAATGTGAATGTGGGCGCTGGGGTTGGTATCGGACGAGCCTCCATCATCAATGAGAAAAGGTGAGGCACACTAATTGTGGAGCTGCTGGAGGAGGGGGCCCCCTCCCAACAGGCCGACGCGCAGCTCTAAACACTGGGCCACTGATCTCACTCACCCAATGTGTGTGTGCGTGTGTCGCACTGCAATTCACACACACACACTCAATGCTAATTGGCAGTAATTGTTGTGTTGAGCCCCACTTTCGCACAGCAGCATCACTGAAATTGCAATTGGCATGTATATTAGCCTGGGCTATAAGCCTATGGGTCCTATACATAGCTAGTTGCTCTTTGTTATTAGCAATGCTTGCCATATGTGAGTGTGTGTCCGCTAGTGCATTGCACTAATATTAGTGAGCTTCCCATAAAGCTCTGCTCAAGCTGAAAGCCTAGCGGCAGCCGCGGCACATATGAGCCAAAAGTAGAAACTTCAATATTCAACTAGCTCGTCCCGTTACCCATTTCAGTAAAGCCCTCTCTATGTGTGTACGTATTATGTAAAGAGATATGTAAATTCCATGGCAATTGTGAGGCTAATTTGTTGTAAATACATTTAACTATAATCGCAATACACTCTATTTCGGCGTGCTCTATGTGATGTGGCAAAGTCCTAGTTGTTAAGCAGCATTCAATAGTATCTAGAGGCTATATATATATATCTGTTTGTGCAATAAATAATCATTTAGTAGGCACACACAGAGACGCAGTAATATGCAATTCCACTTAATGTAGACCTATGTAGCTGCAAAATATATCAATAGTTATAATTAATAATTAATTGTGTACATAAATTAATTAATAAATGTTTAGTTGTTGTTGCTTTCCAGTGTCAAACTCGATGTATTTAAAGCAGTCAAATATGATATTAGAGTTTTTAGTTGTTCAGTCTAGGTAAAAAAGTTGGCAAATAATTGAAAAAAAAAATACAATTTCATCTCAAATTTAAAAATAAAAACACTTTTATTCATAAGCAACGATTCCACAAGAAACCAATACAGTATATTATTATAAATTATATATTTAAAGCCAAATAAATATCTATGTAAACAGTTTGTCTTCTATTTTGGGGTAAGCCAGCAGGTAAGAGTCTGCAGAAGATATAAATATATATTTTACACTCACTAATGTTTATATTCTTACAGCACTCGAATCAAACTGCAATAAAACAATTTTCTTGCCTTTCTTCTTTACAATATTTGCATTAAATAATTAGTTTACCCTTTACACTTTCAGCTTCATCAAACGCTATGACGAGCGGACACGTTACTAAATTTTAAAAAACATTTGATGGTTTCGATTGATGAAGCAAATCGATCTATCGTACTATAACTATAAGTTCTGGAATTTCAGTGTTTATAGATTTAAAATGTCGTTTTAAATGTAAGTAAAACATACTATTACTAAAATGTATACGATTTGTCAAATCAGCATTCAATGAAATACAAATAAAATGTGAAAAATAATTCTGGCATATGACAAAACTTAATAAGAAATGAAACCCAAAATTGTAGCTCCCGCATAGGCATCTGTCTGCGTGTGTGGTTTGCTCTAGAGGAAGGCCTTTTACTGCCAAGCTGTGCATCTAAAGCGATTTCTTAGAACTTGGTAAATAAATGCAAATTGTGCAAAACCAATTACAGCTACCAGTTGCTAGTCTGGTAATCAAGCGAGTTGCCAAGGGCTCACAGGTGTTCAAATTACTTAAAAATTAAACGTAACACGTTCAATTTGCATAGGCCAACAAGAAAGAATGAGCAACCCGAGAGAATCGACACTTTTCAGGCACACAAAAGAAAAGTAGAAAATCGAAAAACATGGAAATTTATTACGACCTGCCACTCACCAAAGGTAGCTGGCAGCTCTTGTTTTTGTTGTTGGTATTTTAACTAACAGCTCAATGTATGTGAAGCTCTGTAAATTGGCTGAACATTGCGAGTGCAGGCGCACCTTTATTGCGTAGACAAAAGTTATTGGCATGCAATAAATGTTGGAGTCAAAGTGGCTAATCTCTAATATAGTCCCCAACAATCTGTACCACTCAATGACCCCGTCCATTGAATTGTCTGACAGGTAGGCAGGCTGACCTATTGGACACACACTAAATCAGCTGGCAACTGGCAGCTGGCAGCTGGCTCCACAGATAAGAACCAAACAATGAACAAACAAATTTTGTCATGTTCCAGCCCCGAAAAGTGAATGCCATTTAACATTTTCCTACCTCGTTCGACTTCTTGTGCTTCTCCGGCTTCTTTTGACCGCAGGTAATGCTGATGTTAATCGTAATTTGTGTTGCCTGCAGTAAGCCACAAACTGGGTCAAAGCCCAACAGATTTATGTACACAGTCAACATGTAAATATGTGCCCATCCACGCATAGACAGCTCTCTCCCTCCCTGCCAACGTGGCAATGCGAAAAACCGCTCTGGCCACAAATTTTGTTGGCGCTGATTGGCCTAGCCAAAGGCTTCCTTCCCCCGTCGCCCTGCTCGTTTGGCTGTTCTATTGTCAGAAGTTTTGGGTGGATTCCATTGCACAATTAGCTAATTTGTTGAACAAGGTTTGTGGTTCTGTTATAGCTGAGCTGAGCTGAGCAGTTAGTTTTGTGGTTTATCGCGCTGAGATTTTGTTGTCGCAATATAATTACAATAAATATACAGATTTTATGTCTGATATTTACTCAAATACTTTATTGAAGTTGTTTTTGCTCACGTTAAACTAGACAAGTTAACCTCGATTCAATTTAATAGGTTTGGGAGCGATTACCCAAATCAGATTTCTAATATTCGTAGCCATTATCTATTAATATAGTTTTCAAGTTTGCAAAATTATTAAACAAGGTTTATTATATGATATTAAATGAAACTGAAAACGCTTCAAACTCCTCGTACTGAGTACACATTAATGACGCAATTCTGTACATGAAATTTTTTCTATTATTTCCTTTATTAATTATTATTTATTTAAAAAAAAAAACGTAACATTCCTACAGCGTCTCTTTTATGCGGTTTCTACAATCCTTTTCATCTTCTACTTGACTCATACATCGGATCTTGCTCGCTCTAGATCTCATGCGTGGATTCCATGTGCAAGAGCGAGACAACTAGCTAGCTCAGTTTTTTACCACACTGTTAAAGCTAGGTATGGCACTGTTAATAATATATCGATGACAATGTTAGCAGAATAGTAGGGGCTTGCTACAATGGATAACAATTTACTAACGTTGTTGAGCTAATGAGCATAATGAGAAGAGATTCCAAGCACACATACAACTGATATTTATACCCATCGAGTACTCTTACTGTACTATACTACGCAGATACTCTAATTTTCAGACCAAATGCAATTTTTATGAAGTTAATTTACTAAAGCAACGATCTGAGACCAGTTTGTGCCGCAAGGAATTGCACCTAGAACCCAACGCCAAAGAAAAGCCCTGTAGGTCTAGACTATCGTGCATAATTTACATAAAACATTTTTTAAATACAAAATATGTTCATATAAATATCTTGAATTAATCAAACTCCAGATTAAGATTCCTCTAAGTTCCTAAGCTTTCTGTTCTTCATCTTTTCACACTCTACAATTGATTAGTACATTATTTTCGTAATTCCCTGCAAGCAATATACCTATCCAAGTATGTTGGTATGTATATGACAAAGTTGGAACACCCACTGGATTAGCGATGGAGATAAAGTTGGCAAACAGTAAGCCAAAAGTCTGCAACAGTTGATGCTGCATATATTGGGGACACAATCAACTGTTGACTTGGCTCTGCATAAACAAACAAATGCTTAACACCTTCCAGCCGCCTCTGTCTTAGCATCTGGCCTTACCTCCGATCCTGCTTGTGAACAACGATTCCCACATCAGCCAAGGACAACAAGTAATGGAAGCTTTACATATGCAAATGAGTCCGAAAGGACAAGATAATTCCTAACATATTCTGGCCCATTTTATGGGAACACAGCACACGCCTTATTAGATTTGAGATAGCAGTCATACCATCATTACTGAGCAGGAAAATTCGAATGATATTATCAGCTGCAATAATGCATTACCTATCTCGGATTAATTCAAATCAACAAAAGCGTACCAAAAGTTGTGAAAAAATTTTAAAATAAATCGATTAGGATCAGCAAAAATTTGAGCTTGCATTGAAATTCTAATTGGAATTTTTTCAAATCGGCTGTTTAAAGAAGATTTAAAAGGGTATATTGATAATGCCTAATAAGATCGGGTATCATTAGACACTTTATAATTTTTTTAATATATTATGTATGTCCTTATCTGCTTGTATTGATCGGCTTGTACATTTCTAAACAGTTAAATTAGTTTAAAAACAAAAATGATTTCCAGATCGGATTTTACTATTAGAATCTCACTCATCAAAAGTATTTATAAGCTTGGATGGAATATACTTTAGTTGTAGCTCAGATGACAACAGCATTTAGGACCATAATGAAGCAACAGTGTGCGACTGTAGCAAAGAGTTTGCTCACACTTCAAGCGTAGGCGTATATGAAGTTTCCCTTAGGTGCGTGGTTATCAGATTATCAAGTGCTGAATGTGGCTGGGAATGGTGGAAAGAGCACGTCAGCTGAGGGGAGAACTTTCAAGTAGCCCAAAGTGATTTATTATGCAGCTGGGAGGGAAGGGTCGTTGGTCGTAGCTGGCAGGCAGGCATAAGAATGCGGCTGGGTACAGCAACAAGGATAGGAAGAACTATAACTAACATTTAGTGCGGAAGAAAACGACGACAATCTTAGCCGCTAAACAGACTCGCCGTCCTTTTCAGGCCGGAGTCGGAGCCAGGGCCGAGGCCGGAGCATTCATAATTCCTCATTTGTGCGCCCCCATGAAAATGAGCTCGGGCTGAAGCGACGAACAGATGCTTATCCTGTTGCCATTTGCTACATGTTTGTTTACCACGCAACCCAAAGGGATTTCCATTGGCGTTTTGCTCTGCTAGCCATCTTTCCCTAGCTCTAGCTCCTGCCTCCCCCACATCGGCGTGCGAATACTGTGATGCGTCCATGCTATTGTGTTGTTTTTTTTGTGTTCAGTTTGATTATGTTTTCGCTTAGCTTTGCTTTGGAGCTGCTTTGATAATTGGCGCAACTCGTAACCGAGACCCATTGACAGCTGAATGGCGCAGAAACGGGGCGCGGCTTGCCAGAAGGCAAGGGCATAGGCGCGCACTCAACCGTTTGGCTCGTTGCTCACGCGTGTCGTGATACGGTCAAGTTAGGGTAGGACAAAAAAAGAAGAATAATTCTGGCCTGTTTATGTCTATGGGCCAGATTTTGTTTCCGGCTTGTTTGCGGATTTGTTTGTTGATGATTGCAAATGATCTCGTTTTTGTTTCTGTAATCTTTTTGGAACTTTTATGACATGGATATTTATGAAAGCGTTTCGCGGTTGATATGGCTGATAAATGACGGTTCTGTTGGGCGTAGATAGCTCGATTAACTGCCAAATTGAATTGCGCTGCATAAGTTTAAGTTGCCTTTCGACTTCAGTATTTTTTGAATATGGGAACTTTTGTTATTCTAGTCACAAATCTTTACTACTTGAACTTAATTTTAAAGAATTTTGAGCAACCTCCAGCATGTCTGAAGATCAAATGAAGAATTTAATCGAATCGAATAAAATGATAAGCTCCTACTTCGTGAGGTATACAGAAATATGTATCTAAAATTTCCAGTCCATCTTATAGTTTACTCGGAGTTTCCCTTTATAATGGGGCATGACAGAAGGGCAAATTGAATTTCAAGTTGCTGTAAGTTCATTTCAAGTGCGGAATGATTTATTTATGAATATTGCTGCATAAGTTTATAGCTACAGTTATACTCCTAGTGTCCTGCTATCTGAATACATTAACAAAATAATATTCGAACATAATCATATTCAACTTAATAATAGGCTCGAACAAGACGAGAGGAGAAAACCCATACAGAAAATTAAATCTATCATCTTTGCAGCCTTTTAAGTCTTTTAAGCCTTTTCGAAATAACCAAACGATTCCAAGCTGAATTTTAGTACTATATATTTATATTCATCATAAATATCGAAAAAAGTATTTCCAGTTCCTTATCAAAACGTCTTTTCTTTTTAAGATTAGGAGATATATTTAAGATCAACAGTTTATAGGAATAGTCGAAGAATCCATCTCGCAGTCAGAATACCAATGCAAATCAAAGTAAATTGCAGTAGTCGATGAAGTATATAAAAACTGAAAGAAATGCATTTTTAATATAAATTAATTGATTTCAAAAGGATTTTTCAGCGGCTAAACGAACCGTTTTAATATCAGGCGACCGCGCTTCAATGACTCTTCAGTTGGAGGCTCCTCAGCCAGATAGGCGCGCATGCCCATGAAAGCTCGATAGAAATATTCTTTCCAGTTCAGACCATTTAAGTCGAAGTCGAAGAGCTGCTGATCCACTGCAGACATGCTCTGTCTTAATCGATCCACATTTGGTGTTTCAAAGGTCCAGCTTTCGGTCAAAAAGTTCTGCAGGACATCGATATTCTTATGGATCTTGCCGTAGATGCGAACCATCTTCGGCTTCTGACCGCGCACTCGCAGCGCCACATCGATCAAGAAGCCGGGCAGCAGGTGGTAAAAGATGGTCGCCAGCTTGTATAACCAAATAAACGTGGTGGTGTGCAGGAACGGATACCAAATCGACTGTTCTAAAGGAAAATCTAATCGTACACCCTCCGCGGCGTTCGTAAAGTCCTTATTCTTAATAGCGTTCGACCCAGTAGCCACATAGTTGTAGATAGTAGCCGTAGGTGGCGCAGCAGTCTTCTTTGCATCCATAGCCGTACGCCATGCAGCAACCAGGGCTAGATTGCTACACCCATCCACGGGTACAATGTTCGAGGGAGCCTCCTTATCGATAGGCGCAACACGTAGCACACCAATAGCAACGCCGTAGAGCACGGCAATTGGTCCGTACAAGTTGTCTATCCAGCCGGAAACAGGCTCTTTGGAGCTGGCAACAACTGAGAAAGCAAAACAGAATTTCAGAAGAAAGACAAGTCTGAATGAGTTATCGATTATATAATCATAGAAATATAGCTCTATCTAACGATGTAGTCTACGTTGATCTGTATATTGTATTTAATGTATATTCCATTTCAAAACTCTACATTTTATAGGGCTCAAATTAAAGGCCTTTATTGCAGACACTAAATAGGGATTTCCGATAGCCCCAGCACTATATTTATCATCGACCTGTAGATGGGCTAAACAGTAAACGTCTTACTATGTTAGGCTCTATTCTTAAACTATGAGAAGTTTTACTTTATAGAACCCGTCTAGCAGATACCTTGAACTCTGAACAGATCCGATACTGGACCTATCTACTCACATTCACAAAATCGTATTCAGATATCCAAAATTACATTAAAAAACTCTACTTTCATCGACATAGATAGGGTCGATACTCTCGGTATCTAGTTTAAATGCCTTCAAGTGTGTTTGAATGTATTTAAAAACTCAATAAAACCATTGGTAATCTAAAAACACAAATTAAAAGAATTCTTACAGCGTATACGAAAAAAAGTATAAGAAAGTTTCTATCGCTCTGTTTATACAGAGTGGCAGTAGGGCACGACAAGATCGACTCAGCTCAACTTTAATGTTATGCTTATGTATGGAAGCAACAATGAGTTCAGGCTATAACAAGTATATTTAAACAGCCTTTAGCTAATTAGTGCATGCAAATGAAATTGAAATACTAACTTTTCCCATACTAAATCATTATATATATCTTCTTTAAATGGGAATTTGTTAAACGTATGTAATAGGCAGAAGGGGACGTTTTTATATTTTCCTGATCAGGGCGGCTGGCTAAGTCGATCTAACCAGTACCTAGACCTGGACAGGAGGAGGCACCATCGACGGAAGAGATAAGTGCGATCAAGCAGACGTAGTTTTGATATCTAGCAAACTAATTTATTTAAAATATAATGAGATATTGGATGTTAAACAGTTAGGGCAGGCATGTAGGTATCTCCTAGTAGGGCACTTCCGACTAGAGCTTTCTACTAGGTTTGTCGCTATGTCTATAGACATATAATATATACATACTGCAAGATAATGCTAATTGAAGAAGCTATAGCACCTGTCTAGTTGCTATACTGTGTCTTAATAAATCACAAGTCTCTAGTCGGAAATACCAGGGATTAATCAAGTTCTTTGAACACAGGCTTCCCTAAATAATTTCTGCATTTTGTATTAATGGAAAGGGAAAATCTATATATTTATTTAGCTACTTGAAAAATGTGAAGACTGTAGCTTTTTTTGGGTTTCGAAGTCGATGGATTGAATCATATATATATATGTTCTATGTCGATCTCTAGGTCGTTTGCTTCAGCGCGATAATCTTGTTAGATGAAAGCACAACAACAGCTGAATTCGATTGCGTCTGGTTGCTTTCAATACCCAAGCAAATTCGGCTTAGTCGAGTGAGCTAACGGGTTTTACTTACTAGCAGCTGGACGAAAGATGCATACCGGCAAATCTCCAGATTCCGTTTGGATCACCTGCTCTGCCAACGCCTTCGTGTAGGTATATGTGTTGGGAAACTTATCTAGCAATACTGGAGCCATCCGATCGAACATATCCGTGCTTAGCATTTCTCTCAGTTGCAGCACCTGGCTCACGTGGCAGCTGAGATGCTCAGGATAAAAGCGATCCGTAATGTGATGAATTACGCAGTTAGAGTAGGCCGTGGAGATGTGCACGAAGGCCACCAGGCGGGGCATCTGCTTAGCTAGCTGCAGCATGCAGCGAGTGGCTCTAGTATTTATATCCAATGCCACGTGCAGTGGCTCGGTAAAGTTGACCGTAGCCGCGCTGTGCATCACCAGTTCCGTCTGCTGCAAGAGCAACTCCCGATCTACCGCACTGATGCCAAGCTCAGGTTCCGCGCAGTCTCCGGCTATGCCACAAATGCAATCCAATGCATTGGGCTTTGCCTTGAGCAGTACGTCAAAGAGCTGCGGAGTACGAGGTAGACCTATTGTTCTCAGCTTAGACAGCTATCATTACTCACTGGACTAGTTTTCCATTCCGCAATACGCTCCCGTATGTCCTTGCCACGCTTGGGTCTAATCAACGCGTAGATGCGCTTTACCTCTGTGGCACGCAGCAGCTTCTCAATGATCACTGAAATATATTGGGGGTTCGGAATTGATCACAAGCTCTAAAAAGATTTCAATGATTCAAGGAAACCCAATTTATCTTTTCTGTTGAACATATTTCGATTCACATAATTTTCTTTAAAAATCCTTTGTTGTACCTCTTCCCAAAAATCCACTTGCACCGGATATAAAAATGGTTTTGTCTTTATAGAACTCTTTAATTTCAGATTCCATCTTGTGGTTATTATAAGCACTTTTGCACAGACGACGAACGAATCAACTTCGTAATGGAAGGTTTTAATGGTTGCAGAAGCTTTTATAGATGTCGAGCGGGAAATGCATTCGAAGACTTTGTGACACAAAATCATAAATATTAATGTTAATGTTAATGCTTTGGTTTACTTTTGAAATACTTTGAAACAGCTTTACTTAATCAATAGGGAACAAATAGAAATGTTACAGTCGGGCGCTATCAACTGTGTAATACTCGTTCGCGGTCTAAGGGGGCTGATGGATCCAAAAGTATCCGAGATATGTTTTATTCGATTTGCCCCGCCCTCAATACAATGGGCATTGATATATTTGCACTTTAAATAATAGCTACATTTTCTGGCCCAGACAGACGGACAGTCAGTCAGGCAGTCAGACGGACAGTTCACAGAATTTACTCATTCACTTCGGGCGTGAGTATAATAACCTTAGTCCAACCTCACGGAGCGTTCATTGTCGTATGGGAAAACACGCAACAGAATTAGAATACAATTAACATAAGTCAGCTAATTTGATAAGGTTTCAAATAATTCTATTCAGTCATGAAATTGAGTTGGGGAAGGTCCAGCAAGAATGGATTCTTAGGCGGCGGGTCACGGCAAGGGGGTTGGTGTGTCTGTCTAGTCGTTCTAGGAAGGCTTTGGCTAACCTTCAAATATCTTAATGAACCCAAGAGACCTCAGCTCCACGTGGATTTCCTCATTTAAGGTTTTAAGCGCTCTAATTTGAATTATCTGCTTATTGTTACAGTTTGAATGGCTGCCAGATTCGAACTACATATGCTTAAATGTGTTTCATTATGATCTTGTAGCTCAGTAACTTGACGAAAATTTATTGCTTTCACAATTTTTTGTATAAGTGAGTCAGCGACTTGCTAATAATGTAAAGATTTCAGAGCTGCAGTGTTTAAACGATAAACAGGAAGTAACAAGCTCGAGCTATGAGTCCGGCTTAGCATAATTGATCAATTGTACATAAAGAATAGAGACAATACGTAACGAATAACCACAAGCTATTTACAAATATAAATCTCCTACATATCGAATCCCCTTATACCGATTGCCGCCCTTAAATTACCATGTAGATTATGTAGAAACGAGTAAGATTGCTCTAGTCAGGATAGCGTAACTGGGAAATACCCAGAATTCTGTGAAGCGGGGATTTACTATCTATCATTCTACGATTCTTTTTTACATACACACCATACATATACACGGCATTTGCTTACATTTAAAGCAGCAATTGCGCTTGGGCTGCAGTATTGGCTTTACTATGGGAACTTATTGTTGAATACTTTTCTTCTAAAAGGACCATCTTGATAAATATTAACAATAATTTGCAGAGCGTGATAATAAAAGTCCTTAGTATTTGAAATATTATCAAATTCGGTGGGAAGGCAGGAGGTATCCTAAAACTAAAATATACAAAATCGTTCTATTCATTACAGGAATCTTATCTAATCTGCAAGATTTACGTCTCATTCAGGTCTCCAGCCTTCTCTCACTCAAGCAAAGAAAAGTTATTCAACAATTAATTTTCCACAGTGAAGCTCACGCTACAGTCTGCAGTCCCTGCGGCGCATATGCTTAGCTGCGCAGTAAGCAAAGCACAATGTAATGTATCTATAGAAGAAGCGTAGAATGATTAGAATATCAGCTAATCGCAGGGTCGCAGGGCTCTCTTACGTGTCGTTCCTCTTGTTTGTGTTTTCATTAAAAATAGTCGAGATTAAATTACTTTAAAAAATTGCAAAGAATTAGCCGGCTTTCTTACTACATTCAGATGCAATCGAATTTTATGCAATATTTTATTATATTGGCCATTATATTTGGATATCAGTTATTTGGTGGAAAAAGAGAATAATGTGTATGCAAAAAGGGTCGACGATAAATTCAATTTCGGCCAAGAGGCCCAAAGATTACGAACTACTTTGCATCATTACATCAACATTTGGATACAGCTCAACCTTTTAAGATGTGTGGAAATTTGCACAGAATTGAGATAGGGATTCTGAAATTCCAGCAAAAAGTACAAAACAATCCATCAACGTGCTATTCGAGCAAATATGAAAGCAGATTCATCACTTTGTTAGGCAGAAGCTCGAAGTAAGGCCAAATGTCAGAGCTGCTAAACTTAAACAGTTTAATTTATTTTTTTACAAATTGGCAGATTCTGGGTAAAGAAGCCAGCGGCTCTTTGCCCTTTGCTCAATAGGTGCCTGGTGCGTGGGGTCTGGTGTCTGGCAGCTGGGCAGGTGCACATTTAATAGGCTTAGCAGCAACCCCTAAGCCGGCTTAAATGCAAAGTGCGTTAATTTAATGACAGAAACAGCAACAACGCCAGCAGGCGGCGCCACAAGTGCCCGCGAGAGCACGCAGCCTGTAACACTTCCTTCCAGCATACAGTGCGGCCGAGAAGTTTGTTGACCTGTGTCAAAATGCTGCAGCGTAACGTAACCAAACAGGAGGAAACATGCGGACGAGGATGAAATCAAAGTCAGCCAACATTAGCTTAACCCTCTTCCATTTGTCCATTTCAGTTTAAGGTGAAACACAAATACAACTTAAGGACCTTAGCTGCAAATTTAATTAAATAATTATATCAATTATATTAACTATTGCCTATGCGAAGTAAATGTTCATTACTAATAAAGTATAGCCTGAAACAAAATATTTGTTGTGATAATCAAAGAAGATATTTGTGAAAGAATTTCGCAAATGAGAAATTTGACTGACATACATGAGTATATATATATATTAGTAAATAGAGGAGATCAACAGTCACATTACAATTTTACTGTTAACCAACTTGTTGCTGCCCTGATGGGTTTGCTCTATATATTAGTCGAGGGTTGTTTACACAGGTATATGTATTCTTGAAGATATATAGTATATTTGAAGACATATAGTACAAGCAACAAATCTGAATAATTGAAGATATATAGTATATTTGAAGACATATAGTACAAGCAACAAATCTGAATACTTGAAGATATATAGTATATTTGAAGATATATAGTACAAGCAACAAATCTGAATACTTGAAGATATATAATATATTTGAAGATATATAGTATATTTGAAGATATATAGTATATTTGAAGATATATAGTACAAGCAACAAATCTGAATACTTGAAGATATATAGTATATTTGAAGATATATAGTATATTTGAAGATATATAGTACAAGCAACAAATCTGAATACTTGAAGATATATAATATATTTGAAGATATATAGTATATTTGAAGATATATAGTATATTTGAAGATATATAGTACAAGCAACAACAAATCTGAATACTTTATCAGTTGAAGGCATCAGTGAGTATGTGTTCCGAATTCATCTCTAGTCTCTTTGATTTCACACAGAAGGACGGAAGGACGGACAGCAGGGCAGACGTTCAGTGCGTGAACTAGTATAATAATGACAAAGCTTTTTTCACGAACAACTTTACCTGTAACGCTGGGAACAGAAAAAGGAAAAGCAATTAGTGCCATGGTGCGACCTGTGTACTGCTCGCTTCACTGGGCAATAATGAGATTTGCGTGCAGCTTTAAGATCGATGTTAAATTTGTTGAAGAGTTCCTTGAGCAAAGGCAAAGCAATTAAAGACTTGGGTCAATGCCAAAAGGTAAGTTATGTTGTAGATAATATTCGGCTCCACTTGAAATTCGTTTTTATTTCCATGTGGGCAAAAAAGCTATTCTCATATGTGGCATCCTTTGCGAGGGCACTCGACATTCCATTTGTTATTCCACTAGACAATAAGCCATTAAAAATCAATTGGACCCGAAAATGCAAAGTGCCCCACGAACAAGCCGGCGCATGGGTAACTTTTTCGATAGAGCGAAAGCAAGGCAAACAAAAACAACAATTTTTAGGGCCTACCCAAAGCAAATAAATGGAAGTATTTTGTCTGGCTTTGCATTCCGCTAAATTGACTCTCAACTTTACGCAAATGGTACAAGAGCCGCCCGCATAATCACGCACACATACATATGTGCGGATAACTATGTACATATCTGAAGGAACATACATACCCTTTCAAAGGGTTCGAATCGCTTCGAGTTGCACAGCAACATTTCGTTTTCACATTCGAAGGAAGAAGAAATTTGAAATCGATGTATTAAATAATTCATTGACATTTCTTATTTTAAGCGTGTTTTTGTTATATTTATTATGCCCAGTCAGTATAACGTGCTTACACATAAGTATTTATTTAATAATAAGCTAAAATAATAATAGAACATACACAGAAATATAACACGTCCTTTTTGAAGCTTAGTTGAATCTTAACACTGCTAAGCATTTCAGATTAAAAAGTAATTGCAAATTAAATAAAAATAAGGAATAAGAGCATAAACATAAGACGATATAAAACTATTTTGGGTAAATTAAAAATATTTTATATATGTGCAAAACTGTAATTAAAATAATGAAATTATTTCATATATATTTTTTAAAAGTACAAAATAATAATTAATAAAATAATATAAAATAAAAAATATTTCCAATTTTCTGTGAAGCACAAATATGTATGAGGCAAGATCTCTGGAGCTCCTGATATGTAATTGCTACGCCTGAACTGGACTTATATCGAATTAAATAAAAAAAAATTAGACCAAAATAAGCTAATAATTTTGCAGCAAATACTTTGGACTATATAGTTTTTGTACTACTTGCCAAGGTATCAATTGTCTAAAGTCAAAAGAGTGGGTCTGCAGTAACTTCACAGTCAATATTCGCGACTCAGCGTTCAGATCTTTGGCGATTTGCCATCCTCCCAATGCTTGATGAATCAATAGAGGAAGTCAAAGGTAACCTTCTTGTCTTTTTTTCAAGCTGTAAAAATATATCAGAGACAGCTTAGTCCGATTATTCGCGTCTCCTTTTGACGCAGATATCTACTATAAACACTTAGTCAGAAACTGCCTACACGAGTATATATTCTATAGCTTCAATAACGTCAAATGATATAGTATTTAGCGATCTGCCACGTCTATAATGGACGCATGCATTCATAATCTAAGTATCTACCTACAGCCAAACAGACAGACTAACTGATAGGCGGAGAGACAGTAAGTCGAAAGTTACTCTTTTCACTTCATGAGCGAGTCTCGAAGACTATCTTAAGTAAGTTTGAGGAACACAGACGAAGTACTATACAACCTATATACTTATATTCGTAGTCCACTGGACTCCACTCTATCTGTAGGTAAACAGACCTCTTACATGCATTCCACTCATCTTGGGCTAAAATGATTATGAGTATTTGAGTTTCGGCTTTGATGTAGCTTTTTAAGCAAATCCTGCTCAAACATGTGTCGGCCTTGGCAACTAGTTTCGCTGACTCGACGCCAACCAGCGACGAGAATCTCGGCGCTTTAGTAAATCTGTGCTGTGCCTGTCAACGTGCTGGCTTCCGCTTCCATATATCCCTAATGTCTTTGAGAGTTGCCTCTGTTGTCTTGGTGTCTGCTACGAGCTGAGAAAGCTGCCTCGTCCCGTGGGTCCTTCGCCCATTTGGACTGCTGCCCAGTTGCTTGGCTACCCACTTGCCCCGTTGTGCGCTTGGCCTCTTAGCAGCCGATACAGTGGGCCATTTAATCGTAAAGTGCCGCCTGCAATGGGACTGCGAGTGTCCGGGTGGGATGAACGAGTGCAGTGAATTATTTGTTTTTATTTTACGATTATGGCCGCGTCTTTCTGCTCATTGTGGCTTTCACAATTCAATGTGTATGCAAATACTTGATTGGCATCCGGTTTTTTATGTGCGGACAGCTGATATTGATTGCGCCGAGAGCCTTGTAAGACATTCCATCCGAAGTGCTGTCCAAACACAATAACCGCAGGCCATGTTCCTTATGTTCGCCATTCCACTTGGCTGCCTTGATTGATATGCCTGATTGGCAGCTGCTATTTGTTGGCTTATCATTACGAGCGATAATCAAAAGCCAAATTTCAGCTCCAAGTGCCAGTGCCAAATATCAATCTAATATTTATTTGAATTGACACTTGAGAAATGAATATTGCGCATATTCTGAGTAACTTTGTAAGTTTGATCGGGAAAGGACAAAGTTTCTGCTTGATTGTCACTGTCCATAACTAGAATTTAGCCAAATTAAAAGTTAACAATCTGGTCAGATCATTTAAACTCAAGCTCATCAGCGACCCACTAACAGAAGTTAAAACTCTTTAGGAACTACATCAATTTGCGTTTCAGTTTAACCTATCGAATATCTACTATACTTCAATCTTATTTCTGGTGGGAATATCACAGCTCAGCAAACAGATTGCCAAAAACTAAAAAACAATATAAAATATATCTCTATAATATATAATATATGAACATCTCCCAGCTATACTGCAATTAGTTGGCGCCAACTCGCTGAGACGCCACCACAGAACCGGAAAGTCCACGAACCAAGAAAAAATAGTTACTCAACTAAACAATGAAGACAAATAAATGTATAAGAAAAAGTTTTTTGGCGCGATGTTGAAGTTGAAAAAAATGCGGGCCAAACTTCCTGAAGAACAAAGCCGATTCAACAGCGAAGAAAGTAGGAGTCAAAGCTCTTTACGAGTCGTAAGCTCTGTTGAAATAACTATGAAAACTGCATAGTGTATAAATAAGTCGGACAAATAATGAGAGCAAATTGCAAAACTTCTGGATCGAAACCCAAATTTCTTATGAAATACCTTCAACTCTTTACACCAAACGCTAAATTCATATATATATTTTTCTGAAATTTCTTAAGCTGAAATCAGATCCTTTTAAGGATTGCAACTCTATCTCTCCGCTGTTTTGCTCCACTTTCTTCTCTCTCTCTCTCTGTCTCTCCCTCTCTCTCTCTCCCTCCTCTCTCTCTCTTCACTCTCTCTCTCTCTCTCTGTGTCTCTCTCTCTCGAATTCTCTCTCTCTCTCTCGCTCTCCACTATCTCTTCTCTCTCTCTTCACTCGCTCTCCACTATCTTTTCTCTCTACCTTCACTCTCTCTTCCTTCACTCTCTCTTCCTTCACTCTCTCTCCCACCTATCTCTCTCTCTCTGTCTCTCTCTCTCTCTCTGTCTCTCTCTCTCTCGAATTCTCTCTCTCTCGCTCTTGTATGACGTTTTTGTTGTGAGTCCTAAATTCTTTACACATAAGTTCATAAATTTGAACAAATAATTTCTAAAGCATTTAATATTCCTGCATTTTGTACTCGCTTTTCGAGAGTGTTTATAGAGGGTATTCGCACAGAGTGTGTATCACAGTAAGTACTACTTGTACACCTACAAATCTGTTAGTGCACGGGTCATTTGGAGGAAATATGAAGCTTACACAGCTAAAAAATGTGTTTTCCGGTGTGAAATTCAGGTTTCCAAAGTTCGCCACGTTTGCCCACATTTCAATTGGCCAAGTTTAAAGGCGAGCTACGCGTGATGCTCCCACGTTTATCGGACGCACAAATTTTATAAATTGCTCGGCAGTTAGGCAGATTATACAGAGTACGTGTGTGCGTATGAGTATGTTTTGTGTGGCGTATCAGCCTTCTCCTTGTGTGCGACACGCGCCTCTGATAAAAAAAGGCAGCTACAAAGTTGAAGGCATTTTCCGGGCTGCCACGAGCTTCTCATTTGTAGACCTCGCGAGTCGTTCCCCTCTTCGAAATTAAAAGTTTGCGTAGTTCATGTTAAAGTTTTCGCTTCGTTGTTGCCGGTGGCATGGGTATGAGCGCTGGGCGTTGGGCGTGGCGTGACATGTTTTTACTGTGGCTCATTTGTGCGCTATGGATTTTTAATTGTCTTGATTAGCATAAGAATAGTTCGAGTAGAACTTGCGTATAATTAAAATTCAATCGCATCTACTTAAGACACTTCCATAAAGTCAACAACTAATGCCGCGTAAACATCTTGCATGAACTTTCAGGAGCTGCAACTTTTTTCAGTTCAAGTAAATTGTTTCTCTAGCTGTTAGTTTGTTGTCGTCGTCGTGATTGCCTGCAGGATGTTGTTGTCCGCACAAGTTTGGATTTTTATTGCCATTGCTTAAGAGCTGCAGATTTGTACATGAAAAACTTCTTGGACCCGACAGCTGCAGGAGCACAGTTCGACCATTCTCCCCACACACGCAGAGTAAAAGTTGGGAAAACTTAAAGTTGAACTCGAAAAGAGACTGTCCATTAAAGGATTGCACTTTCAAATAGTTGCGCAAGTGGAATTATTGTGCGAAAGTCGAATCGTGCAACGGCAATGATCGAGATTTGCAGACCATTTACATGAATTTGCAAACAACATTCCCAAACTTTTCGAGTATAAGTTTATTTGTTAGGCTACACAAAGTAATTCCTCATTTGGTTAAGCCAACTCCTTCCCCTTTATTCAATATTTTAATGCTATGAAATTCACAATATTAAACAAGTATACTGGCTTTTATGATATATCCGTCTTTCTTGGCGTTCATTGCCCTATCTATCACTATCCTATATCCTATAGAAGTCCCATTTTATCCTTCTGAGTGAAGAGCATAGAACACATCTGCACATATGTATGTGTGTATATCAGTCTAATCTTATCTCTAATCGAGTTAATCTCCTGATAACTCTGGCAACCATAGAAAGGAACATTTAGAAACGTTTTCTTTTGCTATGGGTTGATCCCATCTTCCATTTGTTTCGATTGAACATTTTAGCTTTTTAGGCCTTTTAATAGACTTTTGTTCGATTGTTCTTCATCCCATTTTTTTGTACATCATTTGTGATTCTCTCTTTCTCTTCAAAGTAGCTTCTTGTGGAGTATTTAGAGTATAACCTGCGTCAGTTATTCATGAGTCGCTTTGCCAAAGCTTTAACCCTCTTCTAACAAGCGCATTAAGCACGTGAGTATAAGTGATTCTCTTTACTTCGTCTTCCTCCCGACCGCTATAGAATCCTCAGTACCGTATAATTATAGTTAATGTGCTACCGTTGACAAACTTGTTTAGGCTGAACGAATTAAGAAGGCAATTAGACCATAATTAGCACTTAAAGAAGACAGCCGATGTCCTGCCCAAGACTATAAAAGCGTGTGGCTAGCATTGTCAACGACTGCAGAGCAAAAGAAATGGTCAACATAGTGAAGTATCCTCCAAGCAGGAGTGAAAGGCATGGACTGCTTCAATACTGGAGGCGTCATCCATTGAAGCTGGCCATTGCGAACACCTTTTGGGAGTACACGGAGCGCACCAAGGTGAGCGGCATGTGGCTGCTGCGACGCAATCGAACCCACGGACTGTCCAGGTGAGTGACAGACACGTATAACTGAACAGCTGGGACATGACTCACCTGTGCAGGTTATCAATCGAGACTCAACCGGTAACCTATCGTCGACTGGAACACTTACTTCAATTAGGCTCCTCCAATTACCATAATCAAATGCAACACGAGCTGAATCCTAATCTCCTTTTGAAATTGGATTTTTTGACTTTATAACCTAAGACTGCACAATACGATTTAGACTATTTTGGAGGTCCTGTCGCAACAAGCCATTCACTCGATTCTTACTTAGACCAGTCTAAATCAAAGGAGCTCTTGTAGCTATTATTTTACTCAACTGTCCCAAAAGCATCTTGAGCAAGGCTCAGCATTATATACATCTGCTGTTGTGCTAATTATATATATATATATAATTTTGCATTGCAATCACAGATTGATTTGGGCATCGGTGCTGGTTCAGCTGCTGTGTCTGAGCATCTATTTGACTCTGCTGCTCTGGCTGAAGTTCTACTCCTATCCCATTCTCAACACCATTTCGAATGAGCTGTCTATTACGGATGTGGCCTTTCCCGGGGTTACCATATGTAGTCCCAAAACGGTGAACAAGGAGCGCGTTCAACGCTACGTCCGAACACTGTGAGTCGGAATGGATATTCTCTAGAAGAAACTTATTGACATTTTCTTTAACTCTCTCAGCCAGATACCTAAGGAGTACGACATAGCCGATGTGGCAGCTGGCTTTGAGTTTCTGAATGCTTTCACGGATCAGAGTTTTGTGCCCACCTCGCAGGATAGCTACAAGACAACAGATGCTGTGCTGCGATTCAACAACGTGTCCATATGGGAAGCTGCGATGGCTGTTAGTCCGGGCTGTGCGGATTTTGTCAAGCGCTGCTTTTGGGGCTACTCGGAGTTTCCGTGCAATCAGAGCCATGAATACTTATCATTTATACCGACGACGGCATTCCTTGGTCCGTGCTGCTCCTTCAACTATAATCCGCGCAATTCCAGCTTTCTGCCCTTCTCGGCAAACATCTTTGGCATGGATGGGGGCCTCACCTTTATCGGCGCTGAAGGCTCTGAGCGAAATCTAAGCACCGGCCTCATTGTACTGGTCCATCATCCGATGGATTATGTAACGGAAAAAGCTGCGTCGGTCACCATAACTGCAAGATCCGAGAGCTTTGTCGAGGTCTCGCCCACCGTGCAAACCTCCTCGACAGAGGTGCTCGAGCTGTCTGAACGCAAACGAGATTGCCTCACCTCGGATGACGTGCAGCTACGCAACTATCGCCAGGCAGCCTGCCTACTTGCCTGCCAGACGGAGGCAATCGGCAAGCGCTGTGGCTGCCATCCTTACCTTCTACCCACAGTGAGCAATAAGTTCAAGGAATGCAGTCTCAACGATACCTTCTGCTACGCATATAACTATGGTGAATTGAGCGAACTAACCCCATACTTGACTGCGTCTTATCCAAAGCCAAATAAATTGCCTGCCTTTGTGTTCTTTCACCTCCTTTCCCTTACCTCTCATTTTCACTCCCGCAACGTTTGAGTTATTTGCCTTCAATGTCATTGCCATGACGCTCCGCCTGCCTGCCCCCCTCACTTTGTCTTATGTGGTGCATTGTTGTCTTCATGTCGTCCCCTCACTTTTCACTTCAGTTACATCATTTATAATTTATACTAAATATTCACAATGCGTGCCTGTCCGTATGCTTAAGTGGTTCTCCCCAGAAATACTTGGAAATTGCTTCACAACTGGTCCTTAAAGGCGCTTCGGTATGCAAAGCCATAACCATTATAGTATATATGTATAAGTCTGCAGCCCAAATAACAAGTTTCGGCAAGTATCTGCTAAAACTCTTACTACTAACTCGCATACACATAAGTACGCTTGGGTATTTGTTTAACGATTTAGTATATCAGAGTTCTAAAAGCTTAATGTTCCTTATTGTTTCCTTTGTGTATTATGTAAGATATGATCTATCTGATATTTACATAGCTGAACTATATATATGATTATAGTAATTTATAAGTGCAACTTAATATTTAAAATTGATTAAGTTGCACAATTGTCGCATTGCTTCAGAAATCTTTTGTTGATATTGTGTCCTCTAAAGACTATATTATTTCATCTTAATCGTATGAATATTAACTTCCCATACTGTAATATATATATCCTTATTTTCAGACAATTTCAAGAGTGTTCGCTGCGATCAATGCCTGCCCAATTGCTACGACGTCACTTACTCAACGCTGTCCTATAAAACGGATCTCAATGTACATCAGTTCTCAGTGAGTAACTTTTAGTGAGTATCCAATAGAATTTTATTCTATAATGTATTAAGATTAACAATATATCGTATAGCAATCAGGAGATGTTTAACAATGATAGCTTCATGCTGCGGGTCTACTTGGCCAAGCAGGTCGTTCCAGTGATCCGAAAGGTGACTGTCATGTCCTGGATTGGACTGTTGTGTAAGTGTGTATCCATGTTGCAAATTCAGTTTACAATTTTTCATTTGATTACAGCTGATTTAGGAGGCATTTTCAATTTGTGCTTGGGCCTAAGCATGATTTCCATTGTAGAATTCTTCTACTACTGCACGTATCGCCTGTATATCAATTATCAGCAGCAAAAGCAACTTCTTATAAAACAAGCTTGGAATTAGACTCAATTAAAAATATCATTTATATATTTTCTTTGATATACAACTTAATTTTAAAAGGGGTTTATTTCATAACGCGTGCTTATTGTTTTTTCTTTTTACTCTTTTGCGATTGCTTAGTCGCTTTTCGCTTTTTGGTCGCTGGCGTTTGCTGCTCTGGTGCTGTCGTTTGTTCCTCGGCCGTTCCATCATCACTGTCACTATGTTAAGAGAAATTGATTAATATTATATTATTTGATTTAGATTTTATATGAAAACTCACCCCACGGTGTCCATCTGTTCAAACATGTTCTCATATTCCGTGTCCAGGGGTGTTGCCTTAACCTCTTTCTTGTTTTTGTTTTTCTTATGCACTTGCTCTTCGGGCTCTACTTCGTCGTCATTCTCGATGGACTCTGGCTGTTGTAGTGGCACCTGGTTAATGAGCACCTTCGTTGCCTTCGACTTAACATAACATTGATAGAGCAGCACAGTCGAGTCGGCATCGTGTACTCGCACATAGCGATCCAGAGAAGCGGAGCTTAGATATTTTCCCGTGTCATCCAAGTGCAGGTCGCTGATACCGCCTGTAAAGCCTTTATAGGTGTGGACATGTGTTTTCATGCGGCGCGTGTCAAAGGCCTACAAAGAAATTGTAATGAAAAAAGTATTTCAGCCTGAGCATAAATTAGAGCTCACCTTTAAGACACCCATTGTGGTGCCTGTGTATATGTAGTGACCTTTTGCAACGAGCGAAGCAAAGCTCATGCCATGCTCTTCGCTGGCAAAGTGAGTCACAGGCCGACGTTGCTTGCGCGTATCGTAGAGCCGCACATAGCCATGGCGGGAGCAGGTGGCCAAGACGCTAGGTCCATCTACAAAGCCGATATCGCTGTCCCACACGGGCACCTCCAGCTGCAGATAATCGTTGGGCAAATTCTTAGAGCTGAAGATCTGTTTGCCATCGGCACTCAGGTCGTACACTTTCAAGTTATTCTGTCGTGCTTTGCCACCAGTGGCCACAATCTGCCTCTCTATGGTGCACTGACGCATATGGTCCATTTGATCACCAGTGTTGATGAGAACCGGATCCACTATGGCCTCCTCCTCCTCATCAGCTGCACCCAGCGACAAAATCTGTATATTTCCATTGCCAAAGCCACCAATCAGGTTGTTATTATAACGAGCTAGACCTACAATTGGAGCGCCGGTAAAATCTATGCGACGCGTGTTTACGCCACCGCCGACTCCAAGTGAGTGCAGCTCAGCTACGTTCTTCGCACGACCGAGCAGAATTTCCGTTTTTGCCTCATTGCCATATGTCAGCGCAGTCACTCGCGATTCTTTGTCCAGAGCTGTCACATCGCTAAGATTTGATTGTGCATATGGATTCTTTTCAGCAGCGGGTAACAAATCTGCAAACGATAAAGTTAAAGAACTGCTACCAGCAGAGCACTTAGTTTGACTCACGTTTAAATGAGCCTGTGTGTGTGCCTACAAATAATTCATGTTTGGCTGTATAATTGGGATGTTTTAAGTTCGCCGTAGTCCACTTCATTTTGTTAAATTGTCTTTTAATTTAATTTTTAGACAATAAAACAATTCCCGACTGACGGCCAGGAGGCAAAACAATATCAACACGTGCAACGCTAAAGTTGTGCGAGCGAGATAGCCGCATGAGCTACCTATCGCGAAACGATTAGCTGCCGAACTTACTAACACTGGTTAGTATCGCATAGCACATAGTCCACCACTAACTAATATATCGCTTGAACAGCTAGCGACTTTTAATTTCAAACAATAACATGCTGAGGTCTTAATTTTTATATAATTCATCTTAATTATGACGCTGACAAAGGTCTACGATGCGGCCACTGTGTTTAAGCACTTAAATGGCATTATCAACGTTTACAAGCCTGCTGGCATGAAAGTTAAACATGTGCGCAATGCCATATTAAGCAACATATGCAAAGGTTCGTCGAATAAACTTGAAATGAGTGCCGAATTAAAAAGTATTGTATATTTTGTAGGACTGAATGAACTGAAACAACGAGAGCCACGTAAACTGCCAAATGACATGCGGCTGCTGGGCTCCGGCGCTGCCACAGACACAGTACTGCATAAAATAGCCGCCAACTCTGATCTTTCGGATCACATATTGGCCAGTGGACCTCGTTACCTGCCAGGTGATATTCGTTGCGCACCTGTCGGCACATTAGGTGACCACACAAGCGGCGTATTGTGTAAGTAATCTAAATTACTATATACAACTACAGATAGTCGCATATCGTTTAGTTTAGTGTTTGGTCTAAACAAGGGACTGCAGCAGTCGAGCCTCATCCAGCGGAATCGTCCAGTGCGGATTTACCATGTGACTGCTCGAATGGGCACAGCCACAGAGAATCATCTGCCCGACTCACGAGTGACTGTGCGCGCTAATCATCGACACCTAACACCGGAACGCATTAGCGGATTAGCATCCTCCATGCAGGCTTCACATCAGCGGAAAATGTACGAGTTGTGCGGCGTCGACTTACAGACGCAGGCGGCCTACGAGTTGGCCTGCAAGGGACTACTGCGACCCGCCGACAATAGTCAGCCCGTTATCTATGGCATTAAACTCATACACTTTAACAGACCTCACTTTACGCTCGAGCTGCACACAATCAACGAGAATGAACAGTATATGGCAGCCCTGATCCACGACATGGCTATAGAATTACGTACAGTGGCTCACTGTTCACAGCTGCGTTGCATACGCCACGCCCACTTTGATGTGACCGAAAGCCTGCTGCGACACGGCTGGCATCTACCGGGCATCATGAAGAACCTGCGACTGCAGCAAAATGTGCTCAAAGCACATCCACAGCTATTGGACCAGCAACGCGTGGATCTACATGCTGCTCAGTAGTAAATTAAATAGCTTTTTATAAACATAAGTAATGGAAATGTAAATATAAGACGTTGTACATAAATATTTAATGTAATATGTTTAAATCTTGGTCTGATTGTGGCGCTGCGCCAGCGTTAATTTGTAATGCTCGACGAGGTGCTGTTGAAGCTTGTCGTTCAGCTTCCTCCCGGCTACAGAGTCCTGCACCTTCTCCACCACATCCTGCGCCTCTTTAAGGCGCAACTCAGCTTGATCCAGTAGAGCTGCTGCTTCTGCAGGCTGTCTGCGAGCACGTTCCTCCAGCGTGTGAGTCATCTCGATGAGTATGATACTGACATAGATGGCCAGCTTGATGCTGTGCGGATCGAGCTGCTGGCACACATTGTATAGCTCCTCGCAGAGACGCTGCTTACGGCCCAATTGGAGATCGCTTAGCGTGACTAGCTCTAGCCCCGGTTCATGACCATACAGCTGCACAAGCGTGTGCTTCAGATTAAACATGTGAAAGTGGTTGGTGTGCAGCAGCTGGGAGAGTCGAGCCAGCAGCAGCTCCACCTGGCTGGCTGTGGGTTGACCGGCCAGTAACTGCTCCACTTGCTCGGTCATGTGTGTCTGGACCTCCGTCACGTAGGCAGCGTCCACAATCATGGGGCAAGTATCGCACTTCCACTGGGTATGCTCATCAAGTGGGTCGACCGGCAGTTGAACACCTACGCATGACTTGGATACGTCACCCAGGCAGCGCATGGCACTTACATAGCTGCCATACTCGGTAGGATCCTCGCAGCGTGCGCAGCGGCAGCTAAAGTGCTTGGTCATGAGCAGATGATGTTGCCGCATTTGAGTGCCCCACAATATGTTCGTGTATGAGATCTTCAGATGGTCGCCCTTCTTCAGGTCGCAGCCCGCACACACCGCAATGCGCTGCGTGGCGGCATCGAACTGGAAGTAACAGTTGGGCTGGCAGGCGTGCTCCATCATGCAGGCCTGCCGAAACAGACCGCTTAGCTCTATGCCCGTGGCCAGCTCGATGACCATATAGTTGGTCTCGATGATGCCGCACAGGCGGTGCAGCAGCTTCGGCTCATAGTTGCTGGGCATGCTGCCCCGTTGCTTGCTCTGCTTGATGCGCTGCAGGAAACGCTGCTCCAGATAGCTCACAATCCGCTGCTCCGCTTCCTGCTGCAGCTCAGTGCCCAGGCGCTCCTCCTCGTGCGACTGCATCTCTAGCAGCATCTGCCAGCGTTCCGGCTGATGCTGCTGCAGCAGCAGGCACTTGAGCACCAACAACGCATCGTGGCGGTAATAGTCAACTAGAACACGTACATCCGCCTTGGCTTTGGGCGCATTGCCCAGACTAAGCACACTGCACTCCAATTTCTCGTGCTCGCAGCCGACGCTGCACACGGGCCAGCGACAACTGTTGGACGTCAAAGATTAAACTTTACTACAAAATATATAAAAACACGCACTACAAAGTATATAGAAATACCAATATGGTTGGGTCAAATGTAATTCACAGAATTCATGCGGTAACAGCCCGCAGGCTGAATGAATTGTTCCATAGGAATTGCTCTCGATACTAGCCGTAATAACATCCCCAAGAAATCTGTATACATCTCCTTTGTCTTTTTTTGATGCACAGTGCTTAACACTCACTTGTGACACAGATGCTTGTCCACGTGACAAGGCGCGTAGCAGCCTACGCATGGGACAATGCTGGCCGACTTCTCGTCGTCAGTGAGAAACCACTTGGGACCCACGACAAGCGGATCCTCAACGAATATGATCTGCTTGGCCTTGATGTTTTGGGTGGCCACCAAGTAGCGGCCCAGCTGGGCATCTTCCTGCTCCCTGAACGGCCGGCAGCAGCTCTTGTGCTGGGGCCAATGCTGCTTCTGGTGCTCCCCATTGCAGTAGCGTACGAGCTTGCAGCGGGTGCAGGTGAGCCTAGCGGCCACATGGCAAACGGCACAGTTGGCACTCGGGAACGTCATTCCAATGATCACTTCACGCTTCTCGGACACGCACTGATCTTATATGAGCGGAGAAAACTTATTTCGATTTCTCGTTTTCACTATTTATATTTAGCATCTTTTTCCAAACATTCGCCTCTGCTCACTCAAAATCTCTTCAAAATGCTCTTCGGCTCTTTCTCCTGAAACTGAGAGTCTGTATAGCCTGTATATACCTATATTTATATAGACATGTCGTATATATATAGAGGTAAATACACTGCACGAATTATATCTGAGTTGAGTTGCATTTTGATATTTTGAGTAGTATTTCTGCTTCTATAGAACATGAAATATATTTTTTAATTATATATGATTATACTATATTAATATATTCCAATTTGTAAAATATTAGAGTAATTATTGGCCAAAATCAGAATATGTATAGCGTCTTATGACATCCAGTATTCTGCATCCCAATTATAATTGACTTCGAGGTCATACAATTTAAAGTAGAATTCGATCCGTTTGAAATTTCATTTCTTTTCAAACTCACCAAATATCTGACGTTAACTTGGATAAAATCTAATTTCATAATTGAGGCTTGGCACACGGGTGAATACGTACACTAAGGTATTGACAAAATGACAAATTTTCCGGAAGAGATTTACCCGTACATATGTATTTCGTCAGCCAACTAGTACATTCCTAACATCGTGTATCCAGAAGGCTCCGTTATCGCAGACTGAACAGACAAGTTAATCCCGTCGTTTTGTATCTAGACCGAGACGTCCATAAGGCTGGCTCGTTAATATTTGTATAGCAAAACGAAATGTTCAACATCTGGAGAAATCTTGGCAATTATTTTGTGTATTTTAATTGCATCATTTTGGTCAGAATTGTAAGTGTGACTGTTTCGATTATTATTCAATTTTAAGCTATATAATTTTGTTAAGTAAAACTATATACTTACATTACCGGAGGAAACATTTCCGTTTATCTTTTTACCTGTTGATACTTTGAATTCAGAAGTCTTTCAGATTACCTTCCTATAAGATAAGCAGTCACTAGTTTTATATTTTTTTAATTGCTGCCTATCCTTCAGCACAGAATATCATGATGTATGCTTCATAGCGAGCGCTATAACAAAGCTCTTCAGATTCAATATTTATTTTTCATGGATAAAGAAACTTTCAATTTAATTTTGATTCAATCTATAGTGGCCAATGCTTTCTCAAAACCTTTCATAATTAAAATATTACAAAATACTTTCTATCGATATTAAGATATTCGCATCATATCATTACCATATATATCCGTTGATAAATGAAAAATTCCATAAAATGACAACCAACTTTTATTTAGTTTTCTGTTTTCTTCAAGCAATACAAAACAATTAGAATACATTCGATCCAAACCGTGTAAAACATTTATCTTAAGAATCCTTTTTCTGTTAATAATTTAGTTTTTATGTTAGCTCAGAGATGAGTTTAGACTTCTCCGCTTGATTGGGCTTATGGTTTGTTCAATGTGTGAGCTATGTGTTCTTATCATAAACTAATCTTGTTTATAGTCTATTTTGTGTAGGGGCATTAGCTTAGTACGGCTCTTGGGGCGCGTCCAAGTCTCGGTAGTGAGATCTGGCGCGGTAATCAAAACCACCGGGCCTGCAAGCAACGAGAATGAATGTGGTTTAGATTTAGGCATTATATACACAAATCTTATATAGTAAAACAAACATTTATTGCGGCATGTAATTGCATAATTGAAAGCATCAGAATCTTTGTATTTTATTAACTGAAAACTGAAAAAAATTAAAATCCTTAAATAGATCCAAACCCCAGAGGTTTTCAGTTTGTTTCTTGTGTTTTGTTTTTTGTTTCGTTTAATACAATCGGCATATTGTACATAAGTAAAAATTAAGTTTCTTTAGTCAAATTTAATGTAATATTTTTATATAGTTTTTGTTGTCCCCATTGGCTAGGAATTTGCTTAAATTGCTTTTTAGAACTGAGCTTGAAAATCGTATTTTGCGTTAACTGTGTGTGTTCTGCTTTTTGTGCTAATCAATTAATTAATTAATTAGTCAAACATATCGGAATTAACGGGCGCATCCAAATCATGGTAACCGATAAGCCGGCGTTGGTGTTCCAAGGGCAATTCTCTGCAAAAAATTTGCGACACAAGAAAGTTGTGACAAATTTCGTTTTAAGACCAACAACAAAACAAATGAAAGCAAATTAAAGAAGGCATATCGAGATCGGGACAAATACACTAGGCTCCTTATCGAGGTAAAATTCTTTGGATGTACAGAAATATATTTAAAGAATTATCTGATTTCTGAATAAGCAATAGAGAAATAAGTTTGAAAATTACTCACTAAAATATGAGACTACAATTAGCAAGACTTTTTAAAAGTACACAAATGTTATGAAAGCTCAGAAATACTTAAATCTGTAACGAATACAAAAAATATAAAAGTTTAACTATTCCGAGATATTTGGGAGCGGCAAACACTTTTAGAACTGAATCATTTTGAATATATATCACATATTAACATACTCTTGGCTTCTAATGAAAAACATATTTAAACAAACGGATTTTTAGGGATAATGACGGAAGCAAACGGCAAGAACCATGACCTGATTTATATACCGGCTAAAAAGGCAGACAAAATTCATACATTGACATCCAACTCTATTCTAAACGGGACCAGCTGCATTCAAGCATTTGTCTTGAGTTCTTCGAGGATGCTATACCCTAGCGCACTTATGTCTACGCATTTTAAATGCAAACAAATTGAGCTACTAACCTGCGCACTGGCGGAAAATTGCGTCCACCCCGTCCTCCACCGCCGCCCATCATGGGCGGTGCAAATCCATAAGGCATAGCAGAGAATGGCGGATACATAGGCGGCCGATAACTGTTGAAGCAAAATAAAGTTAGAAATATAATGAGACACCTCAATGTATGTGCCCACTTACCCGCCTGAGCCACGTCCAGACTCGGATTCTGTGCGCTTGGAGCTGCCTGGATGTTCCGGCAGCTGCGGCCGTTTGGGATCGCGTAAATAGTTGTTAAAATACTGCACCTCCTTGCGCACCTCGTCGACCTTCTCTTCGTGCTTGTTGAAAATATGTTTGCGTATGAACTCAGGACCCTTGAATTTCTTGCCTGACAGCGGACACAACCATTTGTCCTTGGCCAGTTCTTGTGTGTTGGCTTGAACGAATTTTTCCACCTCGGTTTCGGGATTCTTGGCGCCCAGCTCCTTAATCTCATCATCGCTGAGTTGCACGCTCTTGGTCAAGAACTGCTGCAGCTTCCCATCGTAAGCTTTGATGTATTCTTGGACATCATTGTTAGTGACACGCATAGGAGCTGGTCCACGGGCATGTATAATACCACACCGATTAGGCATTTCATCCTCGTATGGATACTCGCAGTGATTGTAGTAGTCCACCGAGTGCACAATGCGTAAATAAAGCACAAGTCGATCGAGAACTGAGATTAGCGACTCGTCCCGATCAATGGGTTCGCCTTCGCCATCCTTATTGTCGCCGGCCAGGCCGAGCAGTTCCTCTTCCTCGGCTGAGGCTTCTTCGATGAGGTAATCGGTTATGTTCTGAAGGACAGGATTCTTGGAATTGAAGCCATAGGTTGTTGAGTTACTTTCGCCGCTGCCATTCGTTGCTTCCTGGCCTGGATTGCTCTCCGCATCTGTTTCCTGTGCACGAACCGACTCGCACCACAGCTTAAATCGATCATCCAAATTCATCGCAATCTTAGCGCACAGTTTAATGTCAGCTCGCACAATCTGCTTATGCGCTGTGATTCCATTGGCAGGACGAACTCGTCTGCTCAAATCCCGATTCACAATGGCGCCCATTTCGCAGTCGCGCAAACGTTGATTGTTCAGGCTCCAGCAGATCTCTTTGATATTGACGTCGCGCGTAAACGTGATCCATCCGCGGCGATACCAGCGTCGCTCGACAAGAGGATCGGCAATAGCTACGCGCAGATAGCCACTGAAGCGGGTGCAAATGGCTTCGATCTCTGCCTTGGTGATTGACGGCGCCAAATTACGCAGAAATATAGACGAGGTGCGGTGCAAGGCTCGTGGATGTGGCCCATCTTTGAGCTTGTCCAAATCAATTGTCTCAGTCACCTCATTTGCTGCTGGCGCTGCAGTGTCTGCCTCGGAATTGTCTTCTATTTTCTCACCCTCCTCTTCGCCATTCTTTTCTGCTGGCTTGTCAGTCGTTCGCTGCTCCGTTTGCTCTACTGGATGATCAGTTTTATCTTCCTTCGGTTCCTCGCCGACTTCACTTTTGATTTCCACCGTCTCCTTAGGGCCAACTTCGCCTTCTGCCTGGGGACTTTCTTCGGGTGGCAGCTGTTTGGCTTTAGCTAATATGACTGCCTCCTCTTTATCTTTTTGTGCCTCCGCTTTTTGATCGGCGCGCAGCCCCTCTTCAACATCGTATTTCGCTTTCACCTTCTCATCATCTGATTCCGTGTCTGAGTCGAAGCTAGATGAAGACGAGCTGTCATCGTCGCTGCTATTCCGCTTTCGTTTCTTGATTTTCTTTTTCTTTAGCTTCTTATCGCCGTCACTTTTAACTGATTCAACATCCTCTGGCGCATTAGCTGGTTTCTCAGTAGTCACTTCTGATTGCTTTTCGCTGCTTTTGCCTGTCTCAGACTGCACTGCCATCGGTTCATCTTCATCCCAGTTTTCTTCATCGAAGTTAACGGGCCGTAAATTCTTTTGCTGCGGCGATACAGCCTCCGGCAAATCCTCATTATCTTTCTCGGCTTTTGTCTGCATTGGACTCTCAGGTTCTCGTTTTGCTACGGCAGTTGATTCAGTTGTTTCCGACTTGCGGTCGTAAACCACAGGCGGTTCTTTGGGTTTCTCGTCAAGTATCTTAAGATCTTCATCGGTGCCGCCCTCCAGTTTAATCACACAAGTGTCCAATACACGCACCAAAGCATCAGCCTGCGATGAATCAACCTTCACACTGCCAATGGTGCCATTCTCCAGTAGCTCCAAAAATACGTCTGTTCGCCTCTATAGATTTTAATAGATATATATAGTAACTCACTAATTGAAAATATAGAAAATTGAGTACCTTTAGAAAGCCTCGCTGTTCATCGCTCCGTCTCACGCTGTCTTCTGGATGATATTTGTTTTTGAACCTGCGAAAGACAAGGCTCAGCTTAAAAACAAACTTTACAAATTAAGCTAAATGTTAAATATAAACATGTTCAAAGATTAAGGTGGGCTATATATGTTTGGTGTATTATTGCAGGTAGTTTTCGATTTCCTCGCATCCATTAGCTTATAGACATCAAGTATTTATTTATTGGAACACATAGTTTGATTTGATTTGATTTGAATTTAGGTTTAGCTTTTGCATATGTACAAATTTCCCAAGGTCTTACCTTTGCAAGCGCATTCATAATGTGTATATGTATATATGTTATATATACGTTATATATATATATATATATATAAATTTAGGCATTTGCTCGCAACGAATTTAAATAGATCGCGGTTTCAAAAATATAAACACAACCCACGGCATTGCTCGCCGGGTAAATTTAAATTTTAAGTTATTCTTTCATTTTCTATTGAGACATAGGCAGAGGCTGAGAGGCAAAGGCTGAGGCTGTATCAGTGTCTCGTCTCTGAGTCTCAGATCGCAAAACGCCATAAAACCCATAAATAGCTGCAGAGAAAAACTTAATAATAAGTATACAAGAGGGTTATGAATTTTATGAATGCAGTCGCACTGAGAGAAATAAGTGCAATTAAATGAAAATTAAAATAAAAAATATAAATATAAATTGTTTATAATTAAAGGCAACGGAAGTCGAGAAGCTACTTCAGAACTCGCTTCTGGCTTTTTGCTTGGGTCGTTTTTTTTTGCTCTTGGCTAGGGAAGACGCATTCCAACTTACCACTCCTCGTCCTTGTGTGCCACAAAGAATTCGTTTAGCTGCTGTCTTTTAAAGTCCGTCTTGTACTCGGTGTATTTCCGCATCACTTCCGAGTCGGATATATTCTCGTCTTGAGTGTCCAGAAATTGTTTCAACGTTAGCATTGCAGGTTGCGTTTGTGTATCCCCACTGACACCACCTCCGCCTCCAGCAGGCGCTGTTTCCCGGGCAGACGAGCCGTGGCCGCCATGGGAGTATGCTGAGTGCAACGATTGATAATGATCGTTCCAGGCCTGCACGAGGTACGGATCGTAGCCTACAACACGAGTATACATATATATATTATGGAACTCGCCATATTAATTGCACATCGATTTACCAAAACGCGGATTGGATCTCATTTCACTGTCACCCCAGTCGGGTCGCATACGTTTCGCTGGCGGCATCTCTCGCCCCGGCGAGCCGTAACGCGGACGTGGCCCCGAGCCTCGATAGTCGCTGTAATCTGGGCGATGACGTGCACCGCCGCCGCCACCAGCGCCGCCTGCTGCCGAACTGCCTCGAAATGGATTGCTACGAGAAGAGCAGAAGAGATTGAACGATTCAACTAATGCCTACATAAGTCGCAACCAATTTTTATTCTACTTACCGCTCAGACCATTCGTCACGGGAATTAGCAGCTCCGCCCATGGGTCGGCGCTCGTCCCGCCGCTCTGGACGGTAGCTGTCCCGTTCGCCGCGAAATTTATCCCGACGCTTCCGATCGTATTCATCATCCGAATCAGCCATTTGTTGTCGACTGTAACAAACGATGCCAAATTGGAAATTCCATTATCAAGTGAAAGTTTGCACATTAAAATTTTTGGCGGTGGCAACAGAGACTTAACCTCAAATTTGGATTAGTACCGGTTGTACTTGAACTGTATATATGCTTAGAGCAATTGTATAATGTTCGTTATTCACGATAACGACTGAATATTTAGACCAACTACAAATATATATAAAATTTTTGTTTTTTTTTTTTCAGAGCTCATCCGCCATCTTGCCGCCTTTAGGTGAGAAAACGCTTACGTGTTGTTACAAAAAAAAATATTAAAGGAAAATCAAATATCAACACATTCTACAGCGTTGCAATTACATTTCCCAAGCTCGAAACTTTCTATTTTAATCACATTTACCTTTTATTTAATAATAATTCACTCTTTATTCAACTTTTATTTGTCCTACACTCCGTCGGCGTCTGGATTAAGAAGTAGATATGGCAGTAATTGCTATCGATACTTCGATACACTGTCGAAACAGTGTTGCCAGAGTGTTTAATATGAAACTGCAAATGTTGATAGCGCTGACGATTATTCACTTCGATTAATCTCGGAACCAAAGCAAAAAATATTATAATAAAAGCTTGCAAATCGTCTGACCATATTTTAAATATATATATTTTTTATTTTTGTTTTTACACGTTTCATATATATCGTATATATAGACTTTTGTTGTTGTTGTTATTATTATAATAATACGTATATGTACAGCTTAGTTTTAAAACTATTTAAAGTGTGTTCTGTTCTGTTCTGTGTAGTCTCTAATCCTATGTAAATATTTAATGTATGTAATGTAATTTTGTTCAAAAATGTATTCATATGCGCCCATTGACTGGCATTATAATCAGTTTTTAGTTAATGCGCTGCCACTCGATCGCCCAAAAAGTTACACATAAATATAGCAAATTACATCAACTCGTACATATACTTCTTCTGAAACTTAAGTCAAGTTCTAAAGTTCTTGAAGTATAAAAGTTATAATTTATGTGGTTTTTGCTTTTAGCAATACATAATGACAGTACTTCGAAACTTAATGTCAGTTTACATAGTATATATAATAAGTATAAGTATATATATATATATTTCTATATAGATAGATCAATGCACCTTAAGTTTTCAAAAGAAAAATAAGCTAACCTCGATAAGAACCATATAAAATAATAATCAAGTATGCATATTTAATTATTTTTTTCGGTTTAAATGCTAACAATCTCTACTTCTCTCTCGTTTTCGATTAACGTAATGCAGGAAAAGTGTAAATAGATTTGTCAAATGTTTGCCAAAATGAAAAAAGACTGGCTGCCTTCAATAGAATCTAAGCAATAAATAAGTTTTCTTTTCTTCTTTTTTTTTGGCAGTGTAGCGCTTCGAAACAAAATAGAGCTAAATTAGTATAAATGGGAAACATGGATTTTTCCAATTCTTTGGAATTTATAAAAGTTTCAAATTCTCTTACGTATTGTTGTTTGTTATTCGTCTGCTTTTCATTTAAAATATGTAATTGAATATATGTATATATATATTTATTTTATAATTTTTGTATTTGTTTCTGTTTTTGTAACTCTAAAATGCCACCAATTCAGTTTTAAGTTGTTTGTTTTCTCCGGATCTTTCATCATTCAAAAAGTTCACATTTCTTTCTCTTCCGCTTTCGGCTAATGTGCGTTGTCTTTAGCATAGATCGTATTTCAATGTAACTGTATTTTGTATCTTTGTGTGTTTAGTAATCCTATATATTGTAGATAATTGGGTAATTGTATATTACTGATTGCTACACATTGCAAATGAAATTTTCAATATTGACAATGTTTTCATTAGCACAGGCCAACAGGGCCAGAAGCGGAAAGTTAAGGCGGAACTCGAGTTTTGGATAGTTTCTAATATGGCTGATGAAGTTTTTGTTTCTGAAAGAGCTGCTTTATCCTTCCCAAGGATCATCCCAAGGGTTGTGCGGAAGCTGTAGAGTTTTTCGAACTGAATAGAGAAAGAATTCCCAAAAATCTGACGTGACAGGCTTCAGCCCTGTTCACCGACCTATGTTGACCTGTGCAATTAAATGAAATTTTAATTTATTCTATGATTTATTTCCTTTGAAATGCTGGCAGTGAGAAAACAAAACTGAAAATTTACAATTTCTCATTTTGTGATGGGATATCATATATATTATCTGAACTGCAGAAAGATTTCAAATGCCATTCATTTATTTATTTTTTTTTTTTGTTTTTGCTATTTTCCATTTACAACTATGATCGAGTGCTGCAAAAAATAGAAAATAAAAAAAGAATATAAAATGAATAAATAAATAAGAAACAGGTACCTCTAAGAAGGCATTTGGAGTGTGTTATCATATTTTCGAACGCAAAGTTGGGATTTGTTTTACTTGTTTGGTTTCTTTGTTTTGTTTTGTTTTGTTTTTTAGAAATTCAGCGAAACACAAAGATCATATTGTTTTCGTATGCTATTTTGTAATGTATATTTGTGGTTAGCGCTGATGCTAAGGTCTCGCTTGTAGTTACGTTTATTATTAATGCTCGAAAAACCTTTCAATCGTGTTTGTCATTTGAATGTTTCGTTTGAGGTAGTTTTCAATTCAGGATCAATATCTACAAGTTGAACACAAAACTTTCATCTTTCAATTTTGCTCATTCACTTTCTTTTCGTTTCTATCCGTCTCGTTAAGATTAGGCTTAGCTGTGTGCTTAATATGGGATTCGTTTGCTTCTTCTTCTTCTTCTTCTTCTTCTTCGTATTTAGACATATGTTCTAGGGATTAGTTACAGGGCAAAACAAGTTACAAGTTACACGTAACAGAAAACAGTGCATAAAAATTAAATAAAGTTCTTGTATTTGTCGTTTCTCTTGAATTCACAAAAATCTACATAACGATTTCTTCACGTACTCTCTGTCTTTTTTTTTTTGTTAATTTTATTTTGTGTTTTTGTTTTTTAATTTGTTATTATATGAATGGATATCTCAACAAGTTATTTACTTTAAATGTAGCTTAGGTTCATCTTTATAATTTTGTCAGGTTGCTTTCTTTTGTATGTTTCGTATTTGTATTTGCTTGTCGTAATGCTTGCTTAATATATATAGAGCGAGAGTTACCTACATACATATTTACAGTTCGACTTAGGCGTTAGGTATTATTAGGGTAAATCTTTGTCCTTTCTAGATATTATAGATTGTGTTATAAAAGTTGAGGGAAATGGTCTTATAGCGAGGGCGCGAGGAGGAGTTGAATCTTTAACTTATTTCATTTTCATTTTCATTTTACGTTTAGTTTAGATTACTTAACTTATACACTTGACATGACATCAGCCTGTTTAAGTACTTCTTTCATAATTTATAATTCATAATTATTTTTAATTTACAAATTAGAGTTTTTTTTATTTATTTAAAAGAGTTTTTAGCAAATCTTTGTTTGTATCATCTAAAGCTATTTCATAGCGCGTCTTATGTTTCTTTTATTTTTGTTTTTGTTTTTATTTATTGGGTTCTACTCTTAAGTTTCACCCATTTCAAAATCATTTCTGTATTTTCTGTGTTAGTTCTCCAATTGGCAAAACTAAAACTTGGACTACAACTAAAGAATAAACAAAGTCAATTTTCATTTGTTAACCCAAGCTGGTTCGCAGTACCCTTTGTCTCTTCCTCTGTTCTCCTAGCTTTCTTTCTCTTTATTATCTTTTATATTCCAAAAAAATTGTTTCATAGTTCGCTTTCCAATGCCGTTTTACATTCCAATATCTGAATTGCTACACTCGGTGAAAAGCTAACTTCACAGCCCTTTGCTTCGCATTTTAGCGAATTGCGTTCAATTCTGCACGTTATCGATCGATATATCGATACATCGGTATCTCATGATCGATACTTATCCTAAAGAGTCGTTGCCTTGCTCTTCGAGTTTAAACTGTTGTCGAATATATATAAATATGAACTGAAAATGTTAATTAAGATTGATTCATCTTCATGTATCTTCTTTTTCATTCGAATTCATATAATTGATCAATTTATCGATTTATCGAATTATCAATACTAAGCCTAACGAGTATATTCTTTCCTCTTCGGTTTGAAACTGTCACAAATAAATAATATGTCCAATTGCAATATGAAAACCTTTTTTGTTCTGCTTCACTTTTCCCATTCCAATTTGTCAATTTATCGGCCTATTTTGACTTATTCTAAAGAGTCTTAGCTTTCCTCTTGGTATTAAAACTATTGTCAAAAGATATTTGAGAATAAATAAAACTATTAAAAACATAATTTACTCTAAGCTTCACTCGTCAATTTATCAATTTATTGATTCACTGCCTTTTTTGCCAATCTCTATTACCAAATATGAAAAATAAGTAAAATTAAATTGAAAAATAAATAGTTCAAATAAAAACACAATTCTGTTTATGCTTGATTTTTTTTCGTTCAACATATTTTCATATATATTGTGTGTATATTTTTGTATATTTTTGTTTTGTTGTTGTTGTTGCATGTTCCATTTTCGCATTTACGTAAAATAGTAAAAATTAATTGTATATATATATTATGATAGAGTTTCTGTTGATTTTTACATTACAGTAAAACTACAAAACAAATTATATGAATAATCATTAAACGCGCGTTGGGCATACTTTAAAAACTTAAACTTTAAATCAAATTTATATTAAAATAATTATGTAAAGAAACTTAAGAGTGAGTTTTTTGTTTTCTTTTCTTTTGTTTAGGGTTTTAGTTTTTGTTTATGTTTTTCGGGTAATTGTTCCACTAATAGGTTGCTATTAATTATATTATAGTTAAATTATTCACTGTGTTTTTGTTTTTGTTTCTGTTTTTTTTTTAAGTGCAGTTTAAAAATAATCAAATTACAGCATTAAATTTATAATTTGTAATTTGTATTTTTTGCTATTTTCCAATATATTCAAAATGTGTGTGTGTAAAAATTATATATATTAATTAGTTTAAAATTAATAATAATAATAATAGTAGTAAGCATTAAAAATTGCACATATCAAAAAAATGTTCTGCCACTTTTATACACAATTAAAAAATGATGTTTAAATTTTACATATTTTGTTTTTTTTTCTTCTTTTTTTGTTTGTTTGTTTCTTTTTATGTTTTGTTGTATTTTACAAATGCTACTAAAATTAGAATAAATTTGATTTAAGTTAAAATAAGGCCAACAATTTATGTTTATTTCTTTTTTCCTTTGTTTTATACAATTTAAAGCAAAAGCAACAAAAAAAGAAAAAAAATTTAAATTGCATAACAAAAATTTCAAATATAAAAAGAAAAAAATTGCCAAAAATATTTCTTGCACTTTTGTTGTTTTTTTTTGTTTTGTTTAAAAAACAAAATTTTGATTATGCCAAATGTTGTTTAAAAAAAGTTTAATTGCTATATAATTTACAAATATTTATAAATTTTGAATTAAAATGTTTAATTTATTAATTAATATTGAAGTCTTTTGGTGTGTGTGAGTGTGTGTGTGTGTGGTGTGATTGAAACTGTTTTTGCCAGCAAAAATGTGCATTGATTTTTGTATATTTAGTTTTTAATTAATTAATACCGTTAATGCCTTTTTAAATTTTGAGTAAAACTCCAATCACTTTTTTTGTTTACAAAATGTTTTTTTTTTAAATTTCGCCAATTGTTTTTGTTTTTGTTTTAAGGAAAATTTTAAAAATTCAACTGATCGTAAAAATGTAAATTCTCAATTTTATGTTGATTAAAAAATATAAGGAGCGCATAAAGAGAAAATATATTCGTATGTATTTTTCTTTCATTTCGTTAATAATTTTTCTTACAGTTTTTTTACTCAGTTAATATGATTAAAAAAATATTTATAAAATCAGTCCAAGTTTGCGTGTGTTTTTTAGGTTTAATTTTAGTTCTTTAAGAGTTGGATTTCTTTTTTTTTTTTTTTTGTGTGTATCGTGAATTATGTAACTTAAATTAGTTGATGTTAATTAATTAGTACGTGGTTTATAGTTCAAGGTGTTTAAATCAAATTTACTCGCTGCTTCTGAATTACATGTACAGTTTTATATGTTTATATATACGTTTTTATTATACACTTGTTTTTATTGTAATATTATTATAAATTGTGTGTATTTGTTTTTATATATTTTTAAAATATAAACAATCTTTATTCTCTTTTGTTTTCATTTCTTATATTTTTGCATGACAGTTCGACAGGCATTGAATGTCGCAGGTCCTAACTTTTGTTGGAAATTAACAAAAGAAACTCAATGCAGTTTTTTGTATTTATATATAGTTCATATATATATATAATATATATATATGTTAAGGTATTCTTTGCATGAATTCTATGCCCTTTGCTTGAGAGTTTTCCAATTTATATATATATATATATATATATATTTATATATATATATATATATGTTTTAAGCATTTTCTGTTTTAGTTAAGAATTTGTTATATAGAATTAGTTGTGTCTGTGTGTTTGGGTGTGGGTGTGTCTGTGTGTCCCTATATACTATTATATTTTTTTATATATTCATAATGCCTTAGATCTAATATTTGCAGGCTTAACACTAAATAACTGCATTTTACGCTTACTCAAAAATGTTGTTCTCCAGATTTTCATATATATATTTCTATATATATATTTATATATATATTAGATCAAGCAATTGTGCCGTTACGCACTTATGTATTAAATCCACGCGCTCTGCTTTGTTTAGCTCCGTAAAAAAAAAACTATTTTGAATATGTAAAATTTGACAGTTTCTCCTGCTATATACAAATCGGTTGAATCTATTATCAAAGTGCCTAACGGTACAGCTCGGTCTATATGTGTATGTGTGTGTGTGTGAGTGTAAAGGTGTTGTACACAGCTGCCCAGCTCACTCAATAATGCTGCCCAGCAGTAGACCACCCACCGCCACGCCCACGCCCTCAAGCAGGGGCTATGCAGTGGTCGTCGAGTGCTCCGATTTGAGCGGCACTCCCATCAGAGCCATCGCCGTCTGCGTATTGGCATACATGTTGATATTCGCGCCTCCCCCATTGGCTACCGGCGCGGTCGTCGAGGTGGCAGGCACAGCGGCCGTGATGCTGGTGCTGGAGCTGGCGGCTGCTGTGGTGGGGCCCATAGCACCGCCGCCACCTATGTAATCGCTGGTCGTGCTGACAGCTGAGACGGAGCCACCGGGTAGTGGCAGCGACAGCGGCAGTGTGTGCACTGGCAGCGCGTGAAGCTGTTGATGCTGTTGCTGTTGATGCTGTGGCTGCTGCTGTGCGGCGGCAGCGAGTGCCGCCTGGGAGGATGTGGAGGCGGAGTCGGCGTCGAGGCCGGCGGCGATGGCGCCGCCGACGGCGCCGCGCATTCGCTCGGCTCGTCGCTGCTGCTCCTCCTGTTGGGCCTGGATATGGGATTGGACTGAGGGCGGTATGGCATGCACGTCCCAGATCTCTTCGAGAAACTTGGGCAGCTTGCGATTCTTGAGCTTAAGCGAGAAGCACATCTCGGCGTTCTGGTTACCCAGCGTGCGCAGCTCGGTGAGTATGGAGAGCAGTTTGGCGTAGAAGACGAGACTCATGGAGTCGCCGCAGTGGCGATTGAGTATATAAATGCGTAGCGTGTCGATGTAGTAGCTCTGTATCGCTTCAACCAGCTGGGCCTTCTCGAGGCCCGGCCGGTCCGAGAAGATCACAATGGCAGTGAGTAGCGCGTACTCCACGTTGTCCACCTTCATCGAGAACATCTGCCGGCAGAAGTGCAGCAGATCCTCAATGTTGTCTGCCATTCCGGCCATCTTGTACGAGTCGCGCGTATACGATCGATTGTTTGCAAAGTATATCGAGTCCGAATTGTGATCGTAGCGTCGGGCCATGCGCAGCATCATCACCTCCGATGAGCAGGCCTGCAAGCAATCGATAATTATCGATCTGCCATTGAATTGAGCTCTCGCTTACTGATTAGCAATACTCACCTTGAGTAACGTGATCTGATCCTCTTGCGGTATCTTTGTAAACGCTGGTAATCCTTTCGCAAACTCCACGATCAACTGCACTGTGAGTATGGTTATCTCGGTGATGTGCCGAAAACTGACATCCGTCTGACTCTCATTCTCATCCGGTTGACTCTGCATAGTGAGAAGGAAAGCGGAGAGTCCATTATTAGATGCGAGCAAATTATAGGAGAGTCGTCACATAGCTTGAGACTATCTATGGAGGTGAGGCACTTACCATAATACGCTTGAGATCCTCTTCGGATGGCTGCTCATAGCCATCCTGATACCAAATTAATTTATATATAACGGCCAATTGATTGAACGTTAATGGAGGTATATTGCGCGCTTGACACTCGGCCAAAATATCATCAGGTAGTAGCTGTAGGGAGATGCATTGTTTAGTGACTAGCGATAGCTATCGATGGGAGTTGACCTACCGGAATTGTGGCATGCTGTGGCGCCTCGCACGTCATGAGGTCGAGAATTTCCTTCTTGACGTAATCGTGGGTGCCGTGGAGAGCTCCAGCGGGGCCGCCGGCGCTGTGCTGTGAGCTGGGCGAGCTGGACACCTTGTCCTTCTCCTTCTGGGCCTTCTTCTCGCGCCGCTTCATCGCGCACTGATTCTCCGGCACCACGCACTCGGGCCGCATGCCCACGGCCAGACACTTCTTCAGCCGGCACTCCTGGCACTTGCGACGCATGTACATATCCATCTCGCAGGCCCGTCCAAATTTGCAGCAGTAGTGCGCATTCTTCGTCACGCTGCGCCGAAAGAATCCTTTGCAGCCCTCGCAGGTGAGCGCATTGTAATGATAGCCGGACGCTCGATCGCCGCAGACGAGGCACAGCTCCTCCTGCAGCCGGGGCGCCGGCCCCTTCTTGCTCTTCTTCGCATCGCAGCCCTCGTTGACCGAGTAGCCGTTGAGGCTGCTCGAGGGCGAGAGATCATCGCGACCTGTAAACAGATCCAAATTCGATTCAATTGATTTTGATTTATTGTGTTTTTTTTTGTTTTTTTTTTGCGATTTCCGTGAATTTTTTAAATATAAATCGGTTTGTTGTTGGTTTACATAAAACATCAGACCCAAATAAATAAATTTTGATTCAAAAAATTTGCAAGCGAAAAATTAAAAATCAAAAGAGAACAAAATCAGAAACAAATTCCCCAGCGAACAGCCCAACAGCCACAAGTTCCTTCACGTCTAGCTGTATATCTACATAAGAATATTTAATATCTAAATAGCTGTATCTGTATCAGTATCTGTATCTGTATCTGTAGCTGTATCTGTCTCTGTAAATGTATCTGTAGCTGTAGCTGTATCTGCATCTCTAGCTGGATCCGTATCTTTGTCTGCGAACGAGGTCTCTAAGCAGAGCAATGTACAAAGTTTCGACAAAAAATTTAAAATTCAATTACCGTGCGCTCAAAAATCATCGCATTCAAAGAATTTGACTCTATAAGAACGAGGTAAAGGTAAAAATAAATATACAAATCAAATTAATCAGAAAAGCCCAATGCAAATATGAGAAATCTGCACAGAGTTTGATAAACTCTGCGTTATTCTTCAAACTTGATCGATAACAAGTTTATCGATCTTCGATCATTTATGAATTTATGCATGATGAATAATACAATAATAACAACAATCTATAATCAATGTAAAGTGTATTCTATGTGGACTGTAAGCTAGTATTCTAATGTGGAACATAAATATGTTTAGATGCATAGTCAAAGTGGATGTCATTACGTAAATCCAACTGATAGGCGTTACATCATTGTGGAACTCATGTGGATCATGTGTGGATGTAATTGGGAATATATGCATATTAATATTTATCGACAAGGTCTATTGCATGTGGATCGTATGTGTATGCTGCCCGAGGCAGCACATCTGACAGATGTGGATTGTATGTAACACTTATAAATAGAAGTAAAAAGCAACTGATATCGATTTGAATATTGACTTGTTCGTCGGTGACTTGTTCCGCACTGTGGACTGTGGACTGTGGACTGTGAAGAGCCCGGGCTCAGATACATTCATACAAATAGTCACGTTCTGGGCGCCCATTAGAAGAAGGTGGACGAGCGAGAGAAGGGGCAAAAGGCATATCAAGTGCAAGCTGTTGTGTGTGCAAAGACAGTAATAATCGGGCAGCCTGATGGATGACTAGATGGATGGGCTGGGGCATGTCCCAAGTAGATAAAAAGATACGACAAAGAGGCGTTGCAGCAGCTACGGCAGCGTTCAGCGTGCCGCGTGCAGCGTGCAGCGTACAGCTTAGCAGCAAGACACTTGACTAAGAAGCCAAAGCACGAGCACTAAAAAACACTTGGACGACAAGTGCAAAAGCTTTGCCACGCCCACGAGCATTGCAGCCCGCTATGATGAGGGCAAGGCGGTGTATTGTCGGCATAACACAGTTTTTTTTCTTTCTCGTCTCTGCTTTCAGCCGGTGCATGCCACACGCTGCACCTGCTGCTGGCTCTGTTGCTGCAATGATATATTGCGCATACACCCTGCACTCCCGCCTCGCCCACTTTCCCTATGCACACAGTTGTTGCTGCCCCGTTTCAATTTCACTGCCACAGCAAAGGCAAAAAGCAAAAAGCAAAAAGCTTCGCGCTAAATAAAATGAAATAAAACGCGGCGTCATGCAAACTTCGTCTGCTTCAGCAACGATGACGACGACGACGACGACGACGAGGACGACGACGCCAAGTTGACTGCAAAAATTTTCACTGCAGCGTGCAACGTGCAGTGTGTGGCATGTGGCATGTGTATGTGTATGCGCCTGGTAAATGAAAAATGCAGTAAATTGCTGTTGCGGCAAAGAAAAAGTGTGTAGCAGCAACAACAACAACAATGACAGCAGCAGCAGCAGCAAAGAAAAAGAAAAAAGTAAAAACCTGACCAACCACACAATCAACACACTCACACACTCACACACACACACACACACAGCTGTGTGCGTGTGTGCGGCTCCCTAGGCGTTGTTTTTTTATCGCTGACAACGTCATGCAATGTTTGGCATTTTCATGGCTTGTTTGAGCTATGCAACAACAACAACAACAGCCATAACAACAACAACAACAACAACAAAAGAGCTAAGCAACTTATTTTAATCACCAGGTTTGAGCCACAACAAGTTAAACTCCAGCGCTGATAACTGAAAACTTTAATGGAATTTCTATGGTTGGAAATTTAACACAATATTGATTAGAGCTTGGCATGAGCTGAAGAGATTAACTTAAGCTGAAAGCCAGTTAACTGTTAATTAGCTAGTCAAATATTTGTCAAAGTTAGAAATATGAAATTTGGGGATATAGAGGTATATATATTCAATAAAGAATAAAGACAAAGTATGCTTGGATTGTATGTGGAAGGTATTTGGGTGGAATGTGGATTTTAGATGAATGTTATCTTATGCGAATCTCTAACAATTAGAATATTTTCCAAGCTTAAGCTAATGAACTTTTAAGTGAACGAGAATCGAACAATTTTAGCAAGTTGATTTGGAATTACTTTTTCTTCAATTATCGATTATCGATTATTATTATTCGATTGATTCATTCATAGATTTTACAAGCATCCACAATATGTAAATAGGGCAAAAGTTAAGTAATTGTAATTGCATTTGTTATACACTTTTAAAGAACTTCTTTGTCTACTATATTCAAAATGTATTTTGTTCCATGTGGATTATATGATGGATTCTATATAGTCAAATTACATAAATTAAAAGTTAATCTAAATTTATCATATATTTATCATATCTTGATTGTATAGCTAGTTAAGATAATAACACTATGTGGACTGCATGTAGAAGATAATGCAAAATTTTCAATTGGAAGTTAAGCTTTCAATCACTCCAAATATAATGAAATTGAAGTTATTTTGAAAAGTTATGTGTGAAGTGGGCGCCAGGTGGCGCTAGAGCAGCTGTGAGCGGTGTGTGGGGCGAGCTACGTCAGCAGTTATTGGCCGCCATTTTTCGTTTGCGATTACCTCAGGTTGGAGGCGGTGTGCTCCAGTGTAACGCGTAACGCATCAGCCTGATGAATTATTATATTTCATATACAAAATATAAAAATAAAAGCTACAACAACTACAACAAACACAATCGCAGCGCAACATTTCATTTTGCACTATGAAAAGACTTTTTTCCAACTCGCACAGCACCAAGGAACGTCATGAAGTAACAAAACAAAGGCGGGCAATGGGAAAAAATGAAATGAAATGAAAAGAGCAGAGGAGAAAGAAGAGAAAAAAATAAACGGAAATATAGACGCCAAGCCAAGCACAAAAACAAAACAGAAAAGGCAGCCAGCTACAGCAGCGACGGTGGCGACCTCCATGCCTCCCTCTCATTCACTCCACACACCATTCAAAAGCCGAGCCCGGCCTCTGCCCACATTTGGAGTTCATTGTGTTATTGTGCTTGGTCGTCTCTCGGTCTCGGTCTCGGTACAACGCTGCGCCGCACTACATACCCACATAATCCATGTAAACGTCCGAAAGCTACGCGGTAACTGAGATGGAGACAAAGGCGGCGTCAGCGGCAGAGACACAGGCAGCGACAGCGACAGTAAGAGCAACAGAAGCCATAGCTATGGCCACGAGAGCACAACACAAACTGGGAAACTGCAGTCGACGTCGCCGCTGCTAGCCGCCAAACAACAAGCACAGCAGCCAGCCGCGGCGCTGGCGCTCAAGCACCAATACACATGCATACAACAACCGCAACAACAACAACAGTACGCACATGTAGCGGGCGCTCTCTCTGTCTTTGCTGCACTCTCACGATTTACTGAGTGCTCGCTCGCTCTCTTTCTTTCTCTCTATCTCTCCCTCTCTCTCGCTGGGAGTTGTTGCAAAAGCAGAAAAATGTTGATGTAGGCCTCGAACATGCAGTTTGCCTTTGGCATTGCCACTGTCACTGCAAGCAGCGCTGCCAGCGTAGGTCCCCCTCTTGGGCTATGCAGCTCTGTTTGTTTGTCTGTTTAGTGAATGTGTGTGTGTGTGTGTGCGTGAATTGCATGTCACACACAGTTTCAGCGTGGTATAGGTAAGTTCTCCCTTCTGTTTTCTGCTTTCTGCTCGTCCGTTTTGCGTGCATTTTTTGTTCTATGCAAAGAATTGAAACTTTTTTATCTGCTTTTCCTTTTTTCTTATATTATTTTTGTGCTCTACTCTAGTCGTCGTATTCTATGGCAAAATATTTTGTTTCTTTTCTTTTTTGTGCTTGCTCCAATGCATATATTTTTAAGCGGCTTTTTCTATGTGTATGAGTGTGAGTGTAAGTGTGTAAGTGTGGACCTGGAAGAAGTGAGTGGAGAGGCGGAAAGCGCTGTGCAAATAGCGCCTTTGGCTGCAGCGTAGCAAAATAAATATGTGAGTTTGCTAGTGGCCAGGCGCTCTTTGTAGATCCCATCCTCTGTTGTTTCTCCAGCCCCTCTCTGCCGCACCGCAGCTACTGCGCTACTGTAGCCATGCTTCTGCTCTGCTGCAATATTAGCAAGTTGAAATCTAGTCAACTGAAAGTCATGAAAAAGTCAGACGGCAAAAGCAACAACACCGACAACAACTGCAACAGAAAGTTGTTGGCTTGTTTGCTTGTACGATTTGCAGTTGAGTTGTAGCTACAATATAAACACAAATACATACGCACACATACGTATATATTTGTACAGACATACATATGTGCATGCAAGAAGCACATCTCCCATCATCTGTATATATACATATAATAAAATCAGATAAATCGTCACGTCAGATAATTTTTTTTTGCATTTACAAAAGCTATTCAAAATTTCGTATGAATTACTCTAGCGGATATATATGTGCTTATGTATGTGTGTGTGTGGTTTGTATTTGGAATTGGAATTGCATTTCATTGTGAATGCCAGGCCATGAATCATATCGATATAAATGTACTATAAGTTTTATTGGCAGA